ACCATATCTACTTACTGCATGCTAAAGAGAGCAACAGAGAAAAAAGGTTTCACTGTATAGCTTTGTTTTTTATTATTTGTTACATTCGCATTTATATTCCTCTGAATTCATAAATGTTGTTTTTTGGCGCCGTTACTTCAGTAGTCATGGTTACTACCAATAACTGTATTATATTAGACACTAATGTATGTAGTCATATCTGAAGAATCATTTATGTTATCATCTAGAAATTTGGCATATCTACTGCTATTTCAAAACATAAATCATTGCTTGAAACCATAATCATAAAGAACATCATACAATTTTTAATCTCAGAGATAACATATGGGCTTATTATTCTGTGGAGAGATAATTGTTTTATTCCCATTTAAAGAGTAAGTACAATTTAATGCGAAAGTTGATAGTTGCAAAAAATCTGTTGTTTGCAACCATTTTCCGATAATTTGTGGTCATATTCAATATGCTCATTCAGTAGAAATGGCGGCCATTCTCTATAGGTTATAATTTATTATTATTATTTTTATTTTTGCAAGCTGAGTGATGAGAGTTGTAGGTCAACCTGGGAATAAGCATTCATGCTCAACTTCAAGCTCATATTTTACGTTTAATATGGACGCTTTTAGTTCTTATTGGAACCTGCTGTGGAATTAGATCTACATATGCTATACTAGTAATAGTACTTTTTCAAACAGCATCATTTCTTGTGATACATATATTTCGTCTACAATATTCTGGTAAGTATAAGATATTATAATAGTAATATATTTTCAAAAATGTCGAATTCGTTCGCCGTTGACACTTCCCTTTCTGTCTTTATCTTTCAACAAAATTGATACATGGAATCCCTCTTTAAACAACTGCTTTCTATTCAAAGTGTTGCAACTAAAATTTGCGCTCTAATAGATCACTGTTGGAACGACAAGTTTGTGTTGAAATACGATCAAATTATAAAGACGCGTGCCATGTGTGTCTTTTTGGTGTCTTCAGATTTCATGCATTAGCTGACGCAACTGAATTCTTGTGGCTCTTATCTAGTGAAGTTGAACTGTTGGATCGGCGAATGTAACTATATCCATTCTTGTCAGTTTTACTGCTTGTTTCTGCGGTGACAAGAAATTCGCGTAGCAATTACTGTGCAAGAAAAAGCAAGATCTATAGATACGGTGCGGTAAACTTAATGTAAAAGAAATGAAAACGGTCTGAATGCAAAAATAAATTCGCGGAAATCTAAATTTAACGTACTTACGACAAACAAAAATAGTAAAACGATCAAGATTTAAATGCGGTACAGTTTCGCAAAAATTATCTCGATAAATTAACGTTCTTACGGCAAGTAAAATGGCAAAAGATCCCCTCTAAATTAAGCGTTTACCTTATATAACGGCCGGCAGGAGTATCCTTGCCATAACGTTCGAAAATTAAAGCTATTTTTAATTAATTGCGTCCTTCCCAGACGTCTTAAAAATACGGGAGTGGTGTCGAAATACAAGTTAATTAAGAGCGCTTCTTTTGAGAGAGGCCCAGATCAATCAGACAGGTTTCTCCAACTCATTTAAATGCCATGGAATTTTATAATACAATAACTACGCCAATATCCGCCATGCCATGGAATGTCAGCTATAAAACAAATCAATTTCTATCAAAAAGTAATATATTTAGAACAGCGAATTTAACAAGGCCAAGACCAAATTACTAAAAACGGTTTCCTAATATAACAATTTACCATAAATGTTCAAATAAGTCACCATTAACTGCAAGACAGTAACCAAGTCGATCATAAAATCCATTTCGAACTGCTGCTAATTGATAACTGGATATCTTTTTGTTTTAGAAAATTCCATGGCATCGCAGATATCTTGAAAAAGATGCGGGTTTTATTTTTCCAATTTTCCGTCTGTATTAAGGTGGGTTCATAGCTCTCCGTTCATCCGTTGCGTTGATCCGTCAAACGGATAGTACATTTTGTTAAGGTTCATAGCAATCCGTCCACATTGTACATTTGCAACGTATAACCATAACCTAAATTTTATTTTGTACTGTACCCTTCGTGATTTTCAGTATGTAAAAATGGTACGAAAGTATGAACACGTTGCTATCTGATTATTACCGTGAAGAATGAACAGGCGAACACTGTTAACGTACCAAACATAACCTCACTCTTGTTAAAAACGGACCAACGGAAACGTAAATGTTCAACTTCAACCAACTTTTCCGTCGTAAACGGACGACGTACGATTTAAAAATTTGCTGTCTTCTGATGGCTAACGGACAAACGGAAACGTATGAACGGAGAGCTATGAACTTACCTTTATGCAAAAAATTGAAAACTAATACGGTTGATGGACGTAAAAAAATTTTTTCTACAAAAAACTTTAATACATTTTTGCTCTAAAATAATTTGGGGAGCCAATAATCGCATGTTATGAATTTTACATTGAAACCCTATGATGCGTTACGCAAGTCACCACCCTGTATATGTATATTTCTTACAACGCAACAAAAAAATGTCTTACTGGGAATTTCAATTTTTTTATATACCGTGTTCGGCTTTCAACACAATGGAACGAAATACTTACGTTCGGAGAGATCGTGGCAACTGCGCTCACTTTCTCCAATATGGTTCTTGTGATTGCCAGGCATACTTTTGTTCATGTTCGCATGAAGCGGTATATGTGTAAATTTTCTTATGTTAACAAAATACAAAATAATAATAATAATAAAAGTCTTGATTTCAGAAAAGACGCAGTTCGCTCTGTCACTTAACCTGATTATAGTGACATTTGCGACAAAAAAATAAAGTAATTATAAAAATATATTAAAATTAAAAAATAAACTAAAATCAATTCCAAATTTTTCAAACACCAAAGCGGCTACCAGTTACATCTGTACCATCTTGTATCACATAAGATACCTAACCATAGCAACGTATCTTTCGAAACTTTTTTTACGTGCTGAACGCTTACATATCTCTCACACGGATGTTTCTGATTATCCTCTGCGTCTTTATCTCGCTTGCTGTGCGGATCCCTAGGAAAAGAGTACCTACACTCCCTCTATCAGAGAATCGTTGATCGTTGTTTGTATTCTTCAGTTGTGTGAGCTACGGGATTTTGCGCGAATTTCTTGCCACTTTCGTCAGACACGTTGCGCGTCACACATAGCACGCGTCTTTATCTTGAGACACGCGCGACTCCGTTCTCATAGTTCCATTGCGCCTGCGCCTGCGCGAACATCGTCTAGCTTCATTTTTCCGAACTACTTCCTCTATTTCGACTAGTGGACCAGTCTTGATTACATCCCCTGAAATCGGTGCCACCCCCTTACCAATTTTGAATGGGGACATGTAATATATGCTATTTTGAATTTGAATAGTTGCATTTCCTGAGGATGTTCTCTGTATCTTCCCTTCCATATGTGTTAATCTGCAAAAATAACCTATGCAAGTACAGTAGGAGTTACCGTACTCGCAAAAGGCTTGCACTCTTACTGACTTTATATTACTACAACTAATTCTACATTAAAGTTTAATTTTAGTACATAAGTGGGCCATGGTATATGTTGTATTCACATTAATACCAAATATTTTTCTGATGAAGAGTGGTTTGGAGTTTGTCTCTCTGATGGTGCCTATATGTGGCCGTATTGGCTCTGAGAAAAATCCTGAAATTATTGTTGGAGTCGCCGTTCTAGTATTAACAATTCCAATTTCATCGTCTTACGTAAGTTGGTATTTAGGGGAAGGTTGTGCGTCTTGTTGTACACCTAAATATGTGTGTGTATCATAATTGTTGTGCACAATATTGTACAATACTGCTCGACTTTCTCCTACTGCTGTAACTGAGTGTATTTAAGCTTGATGTATTATAGGCACCACTTTTAGTACTACTTCGTAAACCCCACCTACTTCTGGCCACTTTGTCCGCTGTTTTTGTTATATTTTTCATTATCGTTTTTACACCTTTGGGATTTCCTTACAGCGGCACCGAAAACTCTCCCGCGCCTCAACGATATTGGATTTATGTATGTAGTACTGTTGTATTTCGCATCAATATTAAATTGTGACGTTTAGCATTTACAAAAACAAATACATTATGACAACAGCGGAACAAAGAACAAATCTGGCTTTTTCCTTTTCAATTTAGATCGCAACTCTCCAAATAGTATTAAGCAGTATGTCTCCGAAATGAAGAGTATGACTGAAATTGAAGACTGTGATGCAATTTTTTGTGGTCTTCCTTTAGCAAGCCCAAGAATGGTATCCACTTTGTATGTATCCACATAATTTAACATATTTCAATTGTATATACTTGCAGGTACCGAAGTACCTGGATACCTGCAGATCCTCCGATTTTACCTACCGATATTGATTTAGCACTTAATTCAAAAACTGTCGAAGATGGTATAATCGTCTTTAACTTCACCATATTAGGTATTCGGCTCATAGTTTACAAACGTCATAATTGTTATTATTCAGGTGCGGACTCTATGAGCATTTATTTATCACCAAAGAATGGTGCAAAGTTGGATGCGATTAGTCTAGTAGAAAATTTACCAGATCCAATTGTATGGGAAAAACGGTCTGTGTATCTGATTATGTACACCAGTGGGAAGGGGAAACCGCAATTGACATTTACAGTTTCCATTAAGAAACCAGATGTTTGGAATGCGTCTGTAGTAGATGTTGCAGTGGCTGGGAAATTTATGAACGATAAATACTTTGTTAAAACAAAAGCGTATGAATATTTTCTCGCTCAGTTTCCTAAATGGACGACACTGTATCCATGGTTGGGTATCTATAAGTCTTGGACTTTTTAGAAATATTTTATACAGTTATGGTGATTGGGAAATAAATAAACCATATTTTTCATTATCTCTTTTATTTAAGTTTAATTTTGTCTTTAAATAGATTGATTTATTACAGTTCGTTTATATAGCTTTATAGCTTATAATTCTCTTATAAGGGCCGCGCAAGGTGTTTGTTTAAGTGATGTACAATAAAGATACATATTTCAATAGGTAAGTGCATTTAATTAGCACGTCAAATCTTATCTTTTGATTTATTTGTATCTCTAACCTTGTTTAGAATAATACAGTATACAAGTGTAGATACCTAATCAGGATACTCACCTACAGTTGCGACAGTGCCAAATGATTATTAACCACGTATATAGTTTATTTACTTGAATACAATCTGATGACTATCATATACCAAATGTAGAACTTCCAACCATGGAGTGCAATAAGTTTAAAAAAATGAAAAATGGAGCTCATAGTGTATCACCTATAATTGGATTAATATTCATTATAAGCATTTTCGGTTTATACGGAGTTGTGTATTTAATTGATGGTATATTACCAAAATCGCTAACTATTGCGGATGAGGTAAAAAGTGAACATCGTGTAAATTGATTACTCAACTTTACTGTAGAAAGACTATCCATTACATTTCATAACGGAAAGAGCGCAACAGCATCTGAAAGCGTTAACATCGATTGGTCCTAGAGTAGTGGGATATGCAGAAAACGAAATTCAGGCCGTCGCGTACTTGACAGAAGCGATAAATAGTATTCGGCAGCTTGCTCATGCAAGTCATACGATTGACTTCGATTTACAGCTTGTATCAGGTTCTTTCATATACAGCACTATTAGTGCCTACTCAAATGTTCAAAACATTGTTGTAAAATTACATGCAAAAAATAGTACAAACAATAGTCTCCTTGTAAATGCACACTTTGATTCTGCTCCAACTAGTCCAGGTAGGTAGTTATTAAGTTTAAACGAGTGATACAAATCATTTCTAGGTGGAAGTGATGATGGAATTCATTGTGCAATCATGTTAGAAGTGCTCCAGAAACTTACCCAAACGGTTAACAATTTACAGCACAATATCATTTTCCTTTTCAATGGCGCCGAAGAAACAGGGCTACAAGCATCCCACGGTTTTATAACGCAACATAAATGGGCGAAAGAAGTTCGAGTTGTGATCAACTTGGAAGCGACAGGCGTCGGCGGTAAAGAAATTTTATTTCAGTCCGGTCCAAACTCGCCATGGTTAATTCGTTACTACAAGAAAGTACCGCATCCAAACGGACAGGTTTTTGGTGAAGAAATTTTCCAAAGCGGTATCATTCCTTCTGACACCGATTTTAGAATATTTCGAGATTTCGGGGGAGCCATTGGTAAATGTGTTTTGTGTAGTACGTATAAAAATCTTTGAATTAGGCTTTGATTTTGCGTACGATCGTAATGGTTACGGATATCATACAAAGTTCGATGATATCGAATATATTCCCAATGGCACCTATCAACATACCGGGAATAACATCCTAGCACTAATCAGATATTTGGCAAATGCGCCAGAATTGGCTAACATGCATGAGCAGGTTCGAGAAAGCGTGGTTTATTATGATTTTATGGGATTATTCATGGTCTCATATTCGGGTTTGACAATAACCATTGTTAATGTTCTTGTTTCTATCTTCTCGTTGGCAGTGGCACTTAAAAGCTTCTATGACTTTAATTTAGGTATGGTAATGAGTACGACTATGCCATAGTGACTTATTTGTTTACAGCATTATCTTATGAATCATTCAAATATATCGGTTTATGTATTCTTGTTATGCTGTCTAGTATTATCTTTGCTCTACTCTTTGTGCTTGGTGTTGCTGTTGTGATTGATTCCTTAAAATTTAGTATGAGTTGGTATAATAATACATGGATTATCTTGGGTTTATACAGTGTCCCCATTGTTGTTGTATCCTCTGGTGTGGTTGCACTGTATAACAAATATAATACAAAAGTAAGTACCACTTGTCGTTTCAAAATAAGGGTGCGCGTTAAATCTTTTTTTTCACTACTAGCGTCTGATGACATGATTATTAACCTTTTTTCCACTTGTAAAGTAGGCTTTCTCGGCATTTGTTCAAAGTGGTTAATAATGTGGACATTATTAACTCGTAGTCAATAATGAGAACTGTCACGCTGTCACTTTTAGAAAACACAACCCGAAATTTCGCTCAATAAACGTTTAGGCAAGTTCCCTAAAATGAATAATTGCCACCATCCGCCATTTCCACAGAAATTACATACCTAAAATTATCACATTTTGAAAAAATTCGAACGAAATTACTCTTTGAAAATATCTCAATGACAGAACAAAATACGTCCTGTTTGACTTGTACTTCTACGTACTTGATTGACATGTTAAATTAATAAACAAAAAATTCTGTCTAACCGTACACTTTCTTATCAATATAATATATTAATTTAGAGGATTTCAAGTGCTAGTAGTGAAAAAAATAGTATATATACCACGGTAGAGAAGTCTATTATTGCCTTCGCACCTTACACCCCTCGGCGCAAGCGCCTCGAGATGTAATCTTGGTGCTCAGGCAATAATACTGTACTTCTCTACCTTGATATATAATGTACTATTTAATATGCGTTAGCGCCTTTGATGAAATTATGCAAGTTGAATGTATTAGATATCCATACATCCTTATCTTGGACGCTTTTTTAAACATTTCCCTAGCAAACTGTACCTACTTATGCTTATAATTGTAGGTCAGTTTAGGAATAAGCATTCATGCTCAACTTCAAGCACATATTTTACGCTTGATATGGACTATTATTGTTATTATTGGAACTTGTTATGGAATTAAAAGTACATATATAATACTGATGATTGTGCTTTTCCAGACCGCATCATTTCTTGTAATACATATATTTCGTTTACAATATTCTGGTAAGTAATAATTAAACATCTAACTACGCACTAGGCTTATATTGTGCTTACTCTGGCAACCTTGTTCTTTTACTTTTTGTACATATTTCACAAACATCACTATTCCAGTGCATACATGGGCGATAATACACGTTATATTTACCTTAATACCAAATATTTTTCTAATGAAATGTGGTTTAGAGTTAATCTCTCTGGTCGTGCCTTTAAGTGGTCGTATAGGTTCTGAGCAAAATCCTGAAATTATTATTGGAGGACTAGTTTTAGCTTTAACAATTCTAATTTCGTCGTCTTACGTAAGTTGTAACGCTTATGTGGGTGTATGTCACATTAATCTTGCAGATCCCATTTCTGGCACTACTTCGAAAACCCCACCTAGTTCTGGTCAGCCTATTATTAGTTTTTCTGGTCTTTTTCATTATTGTTTTTACACCTCTTGGATTTCCTTACAGTGATAGCAAGGCGTCTCCAGCCCCTCAACGTTTTTGGATTTACGTATGGTACTATTATAGACATTTTATAGATCTTAACTGTTACTTTTAGCATTACCAGAAAGAACTGGATTATAAAAATGGAACACGCAACAAATCTGGCTTTCTCATTTTCAGTTTAGACCGAAACGCGATCAATAGCATTAAAAATTACGTGCCCGAGTTGAGTAACATGACGGAAATTGAAGATTGCGATGCTTTTTTTTGTGGTATTCCCCCTTCATTGTATATTTCGGTTATTATGCACGGGATATTCTTACGAAGAGGCTCTTCCTTTTATTGAAGTTCACAGGAGGTTTGAGTTTGAGTAATGAAACGATAAGATAATTATGCACGAGTTATTTATAGAAATGTTTTTAGCGGTACACTGTATATTTTGCATGGTTAATAATTATTTATTGTACAAGACGATAAAGGGATATTTTAACCATTGAGTGAAACTTTCACCAGATGGTTAGTTTCCCTTTATCGTCGTGTATAATACAAAACTTTATTTTATAACAGAAGACATATAAATCATTGTAAAGCTTCTGACAATTCTGAATTTAATTTAGAGACGTCAAAAATAGCAAGCTTAGGTTCTGCAGGAGCGATCGTTTCCGTAGAAACAGAATTGTCAAAGGTTTGGACTTATATCCTGCATTTGAAATAAGAATGACAGATGTCATTAGAATGCACAGTCATCTGTTTCACTGTATCTATCCTTATGGTTAAAAAACGGCGTAGCCTACTCGTTCAAACCTATTAAAATGCTAATTTAACATATGCTATAAAATAAAGTGTATAGTTCAACAACGATCAATATCTGTTGCCTCGTCCCTCTTTTAGAACCAAAGCAAAATATGCACTTCACTAATGACGTCTTTGTAAATATGATGCACGATTATTTCAGTCTTCTGCATCGTAAGCGATGAAAAAATAGCTACTCTACCTAAACTAATTTAAAAAAAGAGTAGCCTCTTTGTAAGAATAGCCTACGTAACGTGGACGTTATTGTTTGATATTTTTAGTCAACAACCTACATGGATACCCGGAGACCAGCCAATTTTACCAAGAAGTATTGGTTTAAGACTTAATTCACAAGTTGTTGAAGGCAGTATGATTACGTTTAACTTCACCGCATTCGGTACGTTTTTCATTTACACTTTAAAAAAATTCCTAACGTTATACTAAATAGGTGCGCACTCTATGGACATTTATGTATCTCCGAGGGATGGTATTGAGTTACAAAGAATTAGTGTTATAGAACATTTACCGCGTGCAATTGTATATCGAAGACGACTGGTGTATGTGATTCAGCACCATTGTGGTAAAGGGAAGAAGGAGTTAACATTTACAGTTTCGATTAAGAAGCATGATATTCGGAGCTTATATGTGTTGGATGTTGCAGTAGTGGGTCAATTTCTGAACGACAAATACTTTAAAAAAACAAAATCTTATGAACATTTTCTGGAGCAATTTCCGAGTTGGACAATAATTCAACCATGCTTGGGCAGCTATAAATCTTGGAAGTTCTAGATTAATAAATAAATCATTTTGTCAGGTGTTTTCATCATCCTCTATTCAGCTAGTATCCACTGCTTCGTATGAGGAAGAGTAGACGCCCAGATACATACACTGAAAAATGTATCTAGTTACAGATATCACATACATTTTTTCAAAAGTATCTTGGTACTTACAAGCTTTAAACAATGCTACAAGTATGTAAATAATGAAAATTGTGCCTAGGCGCTTTCTTTCGGTGATCCAAATACGTTTGGATTGTCAAATCATGTTCATTCGAAGTACGATCTTATGATAAGATTGCTAAAATCGTGAACAAATTGATCGTAAAAAGTTTTATGATTAGTTTACTGATTACGAATTTCTAACCTATACATATAAGGGTGTTTTCGCTCAAATATGTTAGTCATAAGCCATATAACCATGAATTCTGATAGAATATTTAATTATTTTTCATAAATCCACAAAAAATAGGTAATTCGAATGCAAATGTGTACTCCGAAAACTTAACTATATACTGTGATTTAAATTCAATAAATTCGCGAGAATCACGATTACAATAAGAAATAAATGACCCCTTCCATTCGAAATACGCCTATGACTTATAAAATGGATACGCCAATGGGAGGACTTGCAGATGTGTTGCATATTGACTCCCTCGGTACTGCGCAAACGCAAGCGCGCTGTAAATTTGAATTTGCTTTAACGCGCTCTAATTAATAAAGCCTTCGGTCATCACTGTGAATTCCAGTTACATTATAGCCCCAACGTCATGATCCTTTACAGCATAATATGGAATAAACAACAAGAATTGTAACGTTATTATTTATTATAATCAAAACCCTTCTACCATCATGGTGTACGGAAAATAAATTAATATATTCTACCAGATAAATCACTATAAACTATTGTGCTCCATTTTTTATAGATGTGATGATGATAGATGTATATGAGTGTTGGGAAACAAGGAGTAGCTTTTTGCAATAGTTTACTCACCCTGGTGCCACAGTGTTGATCAACCTCATAATCACATGTTATGTTAGTATCTTTCATTTCTTTCTAATTATCCAATATAAACAATATTTTTTTTTCGAAAACTACCCGAGACGTGAGATTGTAATTTCTATTCAAGTGAGATCTCGACTCAAGATTGCATTCATTAGATGGTAGTAGGCGAGGTAGCGAATTGAAATTTGTATATGGCCTGTGTTATTTATTTTATTGGACTGCAAGTGGTAGAAGTCTAGAGCAGCTACAATAGGTCTTGGTCAGCTTAAAGTAGAACTTGTGTGTACTTTCGTTTCGGTGTACATACCTAGAGTACTGAGGTAGCAGTATGTTGGTTTATTGCGGGAGTGATGGAAAAAATGTTTCTTAAAGAGCCCTTTACCACATTTTGTAACCCTGTGTTGGAATCGGTCTCTGGGTAGCTTAGGAGTCGCCCTTATACATGAACGCAGACGTTCAATTGTCCTTTTAGAATTCAACCCTACGGCATCTGTTCCAAACTGTGGGACCTTTATAGTAACTATTTTCATTTTTTCCTGAAGGCTCTGGATCCCCTGGCGGCTACACCATTGCAAATAACGCGTTATAATTTCCTTCTTTTTTTTTAAATCTGATGCCCAAATTTAATAACTAAATCATAAACAAATTATCTTTTTTTACTATGAATCATCATGCCCCTAAAATTTGTGGGGGTTACTTTTAAGACGGCAATTTCCGTCAACGGAATTTATAATTTGTTCTGTGCATTTCATTATAAGAATCACTGATTAGTTTTTCACAAAAGAAAAGTAGTTTTCTCCTAAATTGAAATCCGTGATAAATAAACAATGCCAAATTTTGTTTTAAAAGCGCTGTGATTTGACCATCTTTTTAAATCAGTCACGTGCGATGACGTCGTACCTACTACGTCATCGCGTAATGTCACGTGACCCAGTTTTTAGTTTATCGTTGAAGCCGCTTACGCGTCCTATGCAGCTTTTTTCCGTTTTCTTTGAAAATAAGAACGATCATAACAAAATAAACGCGAGAAAATTAAAACTAAACACTTGGAAAATTGTGGCACGTCGTTATTTTCGGCCCGTCGTTACATAAATCGGTGTTTTCAAACGTTTCAATGTTTGTGGTTATGATGGCGTCCCCTTTGAATTTAAACTCGCGATTGCGTGTTAGGTACCTCGATGTTTCTTGCATTGTTTTTCAAATTATAAAGTGTCGTGATATTAAAAATCAACTCTTTAAAGTAATAAAGCGAATTCGGAAAGCACATTGCTCGTTTCGGTGCCGTGTATAATTTCTTACCTAAAACTGGTGTTGTCTTGTGCAATTACGTGGGTTACTGTTTCTTGTTTTGGATCAAGAGGTCTATGATACGATTTCAAGAATATAGGTGTCGACTTGAGGTAAATTTTCAAACCTTTTAAAGTTCCATCATACTTCTTACCGTACGGCCTTAACCTCGAAATGCTACCACCTCCATCTCTTAGTTTGCGATATTCTACAATAAAAAAGCATGTTCAAAAGTTCAATATTTAATTTTCATTTTGGTGTAAATGATATAATAACGAAATATATAGTCTGACTGATCAATGTACGTATCTTTCGGTGAATTAAGATGGATGGCGATATGCTTGTTGATGTGCAGACCATATGGAAGATAAAACGGTAATTACATTGTACACAATGCGGTGGTCAAACACACTCATTTTACTACCTTCCTCGTAAATATAACAACATCCGCATCGTAGACTTTTGGAGTATAAGGTAGATTTTTATTACCGTCCAATGCCAATAATCGGTAGCAGATGTAAAAATTCTTTACGTTCACAACCTGTTGGAACGATCCGGATCAATTTATCTTGTAATACTAGTTCGGACTCGACGCTGCATTATGTACCGTTACTTTTAAAGTACTCCGCTCGAAATGAATGATAAGATCATACATTTATTTTATTTTGGTAGGTGTTTCTTAAATGGAGGAAATTCACAAACATGGGAAACCTGCTCGGAATTGTGAGTTTGTATCTCAATCTCCTTTCGGGTTTTCTCCCATTCTTTCAAGTACTATTGACAGTGCAATCTAAAATGCATTGCTGTCAAGTCACTTGTTTTGTTTACATGGGAAATCGTACTTAAATTGAACTTCCAAAGGCGACTCGACAGCACCTCATTTTTGATCGTCCGATATTTCTGTACTTGCAAATTCAAACCACTTTAGTTGTTGAATAATGTCAACGATAATATAAATTTTATTCGCATATTTACACTTAAAGTAAGTTCGTAAAAATTATAAATAGTAGACTTCTTTTCTTTCTAGTCTAGAGCCTCCTCCCATTCTATGCTTTGATGTTGAAGTATTCTTGCTACTTGGGTGCATATCCCATATTGTCTTTATGCTTCCCCTTTTCTTCCTATTTTGAATTCCGGTATTCCATATGTACGGTTTAGCAAGCTGACTGTTTTCCATTCCTCCAAGGCGTGCAAATAAGCGTCTCTATCAGAGCATCCACTTCTTTTTTATAATCTTACTAGGAATTCCACCAACTCCCCTTACCCTTCGCAAGTACTTCATTTCAGTAGCTTGTAGTCTGGTTTTTTGTGATTCGTTCAGCACCCAACTCTCTCTACCGTAGGTCAATAATTGGTCTGTAACGTTATTGCTGTAAGTACATTTCATTAACTATTTCTAAATAACTGTTACAGTACTTACCGAAACAGTTTCTTCCTATCGCCTTTGGCATACTCTAGGAATTCCTCGAGAAATTCGTAGCCATTTACTTGAAATGTAGATAACCAAATTCATCTTGATAATACCTACTACACCTACTTACAATAGGTAAGCAGGTAAACTAAATTTTCTTCAATTATAGCGTTTGGAGGTTATGTTTATTATTTACACTCTTTATTCATTGATTGACACCAATGAATAATCTTTATTCATGATTTACACATTAAACTTGACATTTTTACGCAAATTCAAATTTAAGCGCGCTTGCGTTTGCGCAGTACCGAGGGAGTCATGTGCAAAGTGCAACACATCTGCAAGTCAATGGAAGGTAAGGTTATGTTGGAATTTTAACCTCAAAATTTAAAACGATTGCGGTCTTCTTTTGGTCCCGAATTTAAGCAGAGAACAGCGTAGATATGACAATAAACGTAATAAAATGCTTATCTCAAATAGCTTCGTATTTAAAAGTCAATCCGGGAAAAATCACCTTGGAATCGAGTACCGTACGTCTTATGTTAAGAGAAAATCTGTTGAATGATATTTTCTAGGCACCCACACGTTCATTTAATTCCACAGTCATTACAGGCTTTACCTCTATAATATTTCAGTTTTTGAAAGAATCTAATTGCGATATAACGGGCTTAACAGGAGCAGAAATTCGTCAGTGGTTAGAGTATTGTGCAGTTTACATATTAAATGCGGATAGTGCACAGAGTGTGGAACAAATATTAAAGGTAGTTAAGTGATAGAATTACTAAATGTTGTAATATTTGTATTTCAGGAATTGAACGACTTATTGAGTTCCAAGACTTACCTTGTGGCATTTCAACCCAGTATTGCCGATGTTACACTGTTCTACTGTTTACATAACATTATGGTAAGTATTGTAACACTCACGATTGGTAAAATTTTTGCTGTATAATTTATAATGGTGGATGTGGCACTAGGTTTACTAGTCAACTGATTTCATATTACAGGCAAACTTGTCATATTTGGATAAGGAGAAGTATTTAAATGTGTCACGCTGGTTCGATAACATGCAGCAAGATGTCTCGGTCAGACAAAAAAATAAGGCGGTTGACTTCAGTACAAATTACTTAACTTGTGTAGCACCTGCACGTCATTAATAAACAATATACTCATACATATTTTTTATTATATAACTAATTTCGCTAAATTTGTTTTAATGTGAATTTCTGGTAAAGTTTCTGTAATAATTCCAGTAGCTACTGTGACATTATTCTCCCGAACTGTAAAAGGTTGCCCATTTAACATAACCATTTTCCACATCAAGGTAATGTACACATCTGCGTGCTCTCCAGGCATAACCATTTCAACATTATCGCCTGTAGAAAGACGTTATATTACAAACTATTAATGATGGACAAACCTAAGTCGATCCTAGCAGGGACATTCCATGTTTTACTAAACAACGGCTGTGTATACTTTGATTTAATTGGCTTTGCACGACCTCCCTCACTGCGCGATAGGAAGTAAATGTTTGCTTTGAAACGATTACTCATAACCTCGCTACCATAAGCGCATAATAACATTCCTCGTTCTACATTTTTAATTTTAACACCTCGTAAAAGTACCCCTATATTTTCACCAGCAGAAGCCTACAACAAAGAAATTCACATTAAATTCTATAAATCCCCGTGCATTAGTAGTGGACTTATTGATCACACAAAAAATCAATTAAGATCTATGCAATATTTCAAAAATCCCATAAACTATTTAGGATTTCAGTTTTGTTCTGCCATGACCTTACCTTTGAAACACTTTTTTTAAACACCTGTATATCGCCTACGCTAGTTTTTAATTTTGTATCAAAACCCAGCAATTCTGAATCATCATTTTTACGTATTGTTCCTTTTAATAGCGTCCCCACTACTACAGTACCACGTCCGGGAACTGTAAAAGTATTGTCAATTGGAAGCATAAATGGTGAATGTACATCTCGTTGCGGTGGGGATAAATATTCATCCAGCGTGTTTAAGAGGTTCTGTATTGAAGGTTCACCTATATTAGAAGTATCACCCTCCAGTGCTTTTAAAGCCGAACCATTAATCATGGGCGTGTTTTCACCATCATACCCAAAGTCTGTTAATAACTCGCGCATCTCTATCTCGACCAGTTCAAGTACCTACGAGGATATTGTTTAAATTAAGGCATTTAATGTTTAAAACCTGTAACCTCATTATCCACTTTATCCGCTTTATTAATATAAACGATAATTTTTTTGACACCAACTTGTTTAGCCAAAAGTATATGCTCGCGTGTCTGTGGCATTTGGCCATCGGTGGCGGCGACAACCAGAATTGCACCGTCCATTTGTGAAGCTCCAGATATCATGTTTTTTATATAATCGGCATGACCAGGGCAATCGGTATGAGCATAATCACGTTTCTTAGTACTGTAATGAATATGGGCCGCATTTATCGTTATTCCTACAGTGAAGAGTTATTTATTTTTAAAACACTCTCAAACGTACACCTCGTGCCTTTTCCTCCGGAGCTCTATCAATTTCATCGTACGACATATATTTGGTAAGACCTTCTTTTTGTAGCACTTTCGTTATAGCCGCAGTGAGGGTAGTTTTCCCATGATCGACGTGACCAATGGTCCCTACGTTGACATGTAACTTTTCGGCTTTCGTTGAGTATTTGCTCGAAATGAATGCAATGTCGTTCTTTATACATCCTGTTACTTTTCTAATTAATCCATAATGAGAAAAATTAATTAATTTATTGAAATTGTAGAAATTATGGAATATAAGCATCATAAATGTTAGGTTAGATTACAATAGGGGCATTGTGTACAGGGTGTTTTGTATGTCCTGTCCAGTATCTGGACGCACTCAAAACTCGATCCCACTGTATAATCTACTATGTGAAAAAAAAATAACTTGAGTCAACTTTGGAATTACACAATGAATGGGAAATCGTACTTGAGCTTCCAAAGGCGACTCTACAACAACTCATCTTTGATCGCCCGTTATGTAGTCTAGTAACATTGAATAATAATGCAGATTTATTATTCAATGCTAGTAACTACAACACTAACATCTCTGCCTAAAACACTGTACTATGTAGGTTTTGGCTTATTCCCAGTTGCAATTCATTGATTTCCACATATTCCTCCAAACAATCATAACAAACTTCACAAACGGTTCTTATTTCAAATGAAATTCGTGATGTGATTAATTATTATTCTTTGCTCAAAGTTGAGAGAAGACTTGAGGGTGTTCCATTAAAAAATGCAATATTGGTGTGCCACGCCTTTATGACCAACTCTGTATAATTAAAATTAGTACTGCATAGTAGAAATTAAAGAACCTCAAATCTTTTGTATAACACTTTTTTTTGATACCTTGTATATTTTCCCCGATAATCGACCGTTTACAAACTTTTCAGCGACCCTGTATTAATACCCTGTATATTTTCGAATTGAAGTAAACCCACCCCTGTAGTTTTATTGAATTTGTTTAAATTTAAAAGAAATTGGCTTGAATTGTGATGAAATGTAATTGTGCATGAAAAGATAAATTCGAAAATCTTTTAATCCATTTGAATTGCTTTGCCTGATTCGCACAACAATTTTTGTAGTTACGGTCCTGTCGAAGTTGATCGTAACGTAAGGACACCCGGTGGAAGGTTAGTCAAGTTACTCCAGAAAGGGCCTTATTTTAATTTGTATAACTTCGTGAACTTAGTGAATTAGTGTAATTTAAAGTATTTAACCGTAGGGTAGATATCATCTTATTTTTTTATTCACCTAACCTAAAATATTATTACATAATCTAATTTCTCATTTTTGCCATTTGCTTAACTTTTCAGTCAGTATGTTGGGCCGTGTTGGAAATCTTGCTCTTCTGGTGTGCCAAAATGGCCCTCAGTTACAACAACAATGTGGAATGGCCACCTTAAAAGCAATTTCGATCCGATTGAAATCGGTCAAGAACATCCAAAAGATTACTCAATCCATGAAGATGGTGTCAGCCGCAAAGTATTCACGTGCTGAGCGCGATTTAAAACAAGCACGGCCTGTAGGCGAGGGAGCAAAGATGTTTTACGAAAGAGCAGAGGTCGAACCTCTGGCTGAAAAGCCTCAAAAACTGTACATCGCCATTACATCAGATCGTGGTCTATGCGGAGCTGTTCATACTAACATTTGTCGTCAGATTAGAACAATTTTGAACGGACCAGATGCAGAGAACATTAAAATCGTCTGCGTGGGAGACAAATCTAAGGCAATTTTGCAGCGAACTTTTGGCAAGCACATAATCTTGTCAGTTAATGACATCGGTCGTTTGCCACCAACTTTTGCTGATGCGTCTAGGCTAGCGGCTGCCATTCTACAGTCGGGTTATGAATTTAGTTCCGGAAAAATTTTTTATAATCGTTTTAAATCTGTTGTATCATACGCTACCACTGATTTACCCGTCTTTAGTTTGGCTACAATCCAAGTAAGTTTGAATTGCTCATTGAGGTGTCTTAACTATTTATTTTGCAGGCTGCTCCAAAGCTGTCAATCTATGACTCATTGGATGACGAAGTTATCCAAAGTTATTTGGAGTTTTCGCTTGCGGCGCTATTATATTACACTCTAAAAGAAAGCGCTTGCAGTGAACAATCGTCACGCATGACTGCCATGGATAACGCGAGTAAGAACGCCGGTGAAATGATTGACAAACTTACGTTAACTTTCAATCGTACTCGACAAGCTGTAATTACTAGAGAATTGATTGAAATTATTTCTGGTGCTTCGGCTCTGTAAATACTTTATCAGTAATGTGTTGCAAGAATTTGGTTGATGTACGAAATAAGTAGCCACAGTATGTTTGTAGAATTCTTGTAATGCATTTGTAGTATCAACTGCAGTATGTAAGAAAGAAATAAGTTCAAAGTTTTCCAATTTCAAACATTGTTTTCTCATTGTTAATATAATATAAATTGTCTCACTGCGTACTTTCAATAAATCCGCATGTATTGGTTTACTTTTTTTTTAAACAGGAATTAGTCATGCCATGTTAATTCATTAATGTGGGGTGTACCAGATAGGCAAACACAAAAGAGTTATTGCTGAATGCTAGTGGAGATCATTTCGAGCAATACATTCGTTAATTTCAACCTTTTTGTACTTTTAAGTTTTATTAGCACGGAATTGGCCCCCTTGACAAATATGTTCCGGTTGTCAATTTTTGTCAAAATATTTTTTAGGGGTTACAAATTTTTTTTGGGACCCCTTGTATATAGTTAGTAAGTTAGGTTAAGTTTTCTGCAAAAAATGTAAATGTGTACAGTGTAATTGTTTCATGTACGTTGACCTCTTATCTCTCCATTTAGTTAATTTTTCTTTTATAGTCATTTTGCTTGTAGAAATCCCTATCCAGAAAAGTCTCAGTTGGGTACTAATGCTTAAACATTGAAAATGAGAAAGCGAATTACTACACAGAATGAATCTTCAATAAATGAATCTTTATTTAAGGAATATGATAGTAGTGACAAGTACAAAATTGGGGCGCATAAAATGCCATGGAGTTTTGGAATTATATTCATACTTGTCGCTTTTGCCTTATTTGGTTTAGTTTACATTCAAGACGGAAGGTTACCAACACCGTTGACTCTTCATGATGAAGTAGCTTGCTTCTATTACAATAGATATCTAACTCTCTTTTGTTTCAGAAAAACAATCCTGATTCATTCATAACAGACAGAGCAAAACACGACTTAAAATTACTAACAAGTTTGGGGTCACGCGTAACTGGTAGCTACGAAAATGAAGCATTGGCAGTAAGCTTTTTCCAACGAGAACTCGCTTTCATTCAACAGCAAGCACATCGTAATCAAAAAATTGAGGTAGATGTTCAGAAAGTATCCGGTGCCTTTTTCATGGACTTTCAACCGCACGGTGCGATTAGTACATATTCACAAATTCAGAATATTGTTGTGAAACTACACGGAAGCAATGATGAGAAACAACAACGCAGCTTGTTACTAAATTCTCATTTTGACACAGTTCCAACCAGCCCTGGTGCGTATATTCAGGTTTAATCTATTACTTTTAACGAGATTCGAGAACTGAAAGGTTCAATTTTGCGATAGTTAAGGGTGAGGCATGATATGTATTGGGATTTTAAACAAAATTTCTAAAGCTCTCATTTCATTCACTAAAACAGTTACCTATAATTTGTTGATATTTTGTTAGCAGTCATTTATACAGAAAAAAAATGATCAAAATTTTAACTGTAACAGCCAAGGTAACGGCTAACAGTGGGTTACTGTAATAATTCCCCGATCACATCACTATAATCTGTTCACCCAACAGATGCAGTTAAGCCACTCCCAATAAATTCTGGCCAATGTAATAACAGATGCCTTTCACAGTCACAAAATTATAAAAACCGGGAAATTTAAAATGTCACACTGTATGTTATAAAGTGTTATGTTTTTAATATTGACATATTGACCTTTAAACACACAGCAGTACATAGTTACAAATTGTTTATTAAGTTCAAAAAGATTAGTTTGTTCGTATAAATCAAATTAACGGCAAATTGAGGCAAGGCAAATACAAAACGCAGTGACAGGTTTGAAAGGATGTCAATTTAGATACGGCAATTATAATTCGAAGCAAATAGTTGCGTGTGTTACAGGTTTTGAAAATTCGGCCAATTAAAAATGTTCATTTAAATTTGCCGGGAATTTTTTGGGAGGAGCTTAACTGCATCTGTTGGGTGAACAGATAATAGTAGAAAACCAAATTTCATTATGCATAGAACAATATCCAGATAACATTGAAATATTCTCGGAAATATTGCTGTAATATACCAGGAATATTCAAAAAGGTATATTTGAACATGCATTAAAATATACCTAGAATATAATAATACTTTTGATATTTTGTTACCTATTGCTATGCAATTTCACTTTGTAGGTGGAACTGACGATGGAATTAATTGTGTTGTGATGCTGGAGATTTTGCGAAAGATCTCTCGTTCACCATATCGATTAGGTCACAATGTGATTTTTCTATTTAACGGTGCCGAAGAAACCGGATTAAGGGGAGCGCACGGTTTTATCACTCGGCATAAATGGGCGAAAGAAATTAGAGCCCTTATTAATTTGGAGGGGGCTGGAGCGGGAGGTAAGGAACTATTATTTCAAACCGGTATACCTTGGATGATTGATTATTACAAATATGTACCACATCCAACGGGGCTGGTACTGTCGGAGGAAATATTTCAAAGCGGACAGATTCCGTCCGACACAGACTTTAGGATTTTTCGTGATTATGGAAATGTATCAGGTAATTATTTAACGAAGGAAAAATGTTACATTGAAATTGTAGGGATGGACTTTGCGTTTGTCGAAAATGGCTATAGGTACCATACTAAGTATGACAATTTTGAAAGTATACCGGACGGTTCCTATCAGCATGTGGGCGATAATATATTAATGCTAACTAAACTAATTGGGAATGCCACCGAAATGGGGGATTCCCAGAAATCTGCGCTCAAGACTGTGTTTTTTAACTTTTTGGGATTTTTTATTGTTTATGATGAAAATCTGGCCACTTACATCAATATTTCCGTATCACTACTTTCATTCTTGGTTACTCTGTGCAGTTTCCGTAAATTTGGATTAGGTGAATGGTTACTCAATGCAATTGTAATACATAACAAATATTATCTAGGGTTTACTCGTCAATCGGCTGTGCATGTAGGTTTAACAGCTGTGTCGTTTGTAGCAGGTTGGATTTTATCTGGAATTTTCGTATTTTGCACTGCTTTCTCTCTGGATTTATTTAAATCGGCTCTGAGTTGGTACGGCACCCAATGGCTTCTGCTTGGTCTTTACACTGTACCAAGCATCGCATGCTGTTGCATCAGCAACATTCTACTCAACAACTACAACGAAAAAGTAAAATCAACGCAAAAAACACTAGAACAGTTACATTATTATTTTTTAGATGAACTTGAATGTTAACCTTCAATCGCTCTTACAAATTCACGTTGTTAATTTACTGTGGACTTCTCTTTTATTAGTTGGAACATTTTTGAAAATCCGAAGTGTATATCTCATCATGCTGCCTGTTTTATTCCAAACGGCTTCGTGTATAGTGGTTCAGTTGTTACAGCTACAGCATTCTGGTAACTATTGATAATCCTGGCAAACTTCAACATAGTTTGTTGTATCTTTGGGCTTTGCAGCTATTTTTTAATTTTTTTTTATTCCACCTTTATACCGTTTGTATTGTACGGACGATCAGAATTGCAAAATTTGTATGAAATTTAGTGATATGCATGGTTTATAAAAATTAATAAAATAAAATAGCAAGTGTCAAATAGGTACCGGGTGACCCAATAAGACTGTTCCTCGCCCATATCTCGAGAACTGTTCGTCATATGACTTAGGGGTAAAAACAAATTATTGGGTAAATTGGTCATGAAGAATGTCTGAAAATATTTTCAAGTTCTAAAAATGACCAACAGAGGGCGTAACTGCCATCTTAAATTTTAAAATTGCATTTTTTTTAAATTTCGCATAATAAACTAAACAATTCTTTTCACATTTTTAAAGAGAACCAGTTTATTTATCATGTTCGTAAAAACAAAAACTCAGTTATTTCAAAAACAGGTGGTGTGGGGGGTTCAATTGTTTTTACAATAACCTGCTTTATTGACCGATTTTAACAAATTTGGTATGGATGAATAGAGCAACGAGAGTCAACCAAAAGATAGCTGGTTTTTGTTAAGTTTTGATACTATGACCCAAAGTCCTAAAAAAATCAAATGGAATGATAACTTTTTCTTTATGATAAAGTAGCCAAATAACATCCAAAGCGGCCAGTGAAAACCGTTTTTTAAAATCTCGTTTTTAACCTCAAATATTGGGAAAATGAGATTAATTAATTAATAAAAATGCTTAAATTGTATCTTAAATTTACTTTTTACATATTTCCGGTATTTGTCGATGGTGCGAAAGAAAAGCACACTACACTTTTAGGTAGACCTTAGAAAATTAACAAATGAAACATGATGCATTATAAAATAATAACAGCCGTAATTTGTAAATTATTCTGCTGTGTTTACATTCAGAAAGTGCAGTTTTTTGAATTTGTAATCTTTTCTAAAACGCTGATTTCTAACCAAGAAGCATTTAATATGCTGGCTATATATTTTGAGTATTTTCAAAATGCAACCATCTCTACCCACATCTTCTATTTGGGTTATCCGAATCGACTACGAACCATCGCCGCCAGCATATTCAATCCTGTCATATCATTCCATTAGTTTTTGTTTTTACGAAAATGATAGATAAACTGGATTTCTTTAAAAATGTGAAAAAAGAATGTTTAGTTTACTATGCGAAATTTAAAGAAAATGCAATTTTAAAATTTAAAATGGCAGTTACGCCCTCTGTTGGTCATTATTTGGAAATTGAAAATATTTTCCAGCGATTCTTCATAACCGATTTATCCCATATTTTTTTATCCCTAAGTCATTCGATGAACGGTTCTCGAGATATGGCCGAGGAACAGTCTTATTGGACCACCCGGTACAGTGATGCATACATATGTAGATGTTTCTAGCATTGAGCAACAACAGCAACACTGGTCATAAAAGTACCAAGAAAATTTCAAATTGACATTTTGATATTCTGAAAAAATGCTTGTGTAGTTTCTATATGCTACCACTCCAAATATAGCAAAATTTATGGCTTCTAAAAGACGAAATATCGGACTTAAAATCTGAGCTTGGTGGGGAGTAAAAGATGCATTTGTTTTCAAAACTCACAAGAAATAAGCGAACTTCCATATTTGCCAGTTACCACTGAAAGTATTCGGAATTCCTTAAATTTTGTTTCACATTAGCGTTAGATTCGTGCCCTAAAATGTGCAACTTTGCCTCCATTTAACCGACACGTCGTATCTCTTACGATTTCCCAGATTCCAATGGTTACCCTCTAATTTGATTTGATTTACACGTCACAATTTTGTAATGGCGATAAACGGTATAAAAAAGGAAATAAAAAGCTTTGAAAAATAGCGAGGGGTGGATTATTGAAAACTACACTACAAATTGTTTTAGTTAAAACATGGCAACTGGTATACGTAATGACCCTAGTCATTCCAACTGTCTTTTTAATGCAGGTATTTGGGCTGTCGGCGCGAATTTTAATTCCAATGTGTGGACGGATTGGTCCCGAACGAAATCCTGAACTTATAATGGGCACCTTTACACTGCTTACTACAGTCTTACTTTCATCATTCTATGTATATACTTCGTAATGTTTATGCGAATGTTTAGTTTAAATTCTGATTCAGATACCGTTAATGACGTTAGTTCAGAAGCCGTGGAATGTGGTCAAAATTTTGTTTGTTGTGTTTATTATATTCTTTATAAGTGCGCTTACGCCTATTGCATTTCCGTACAGCGGTAATCCAGAGGCACCAACGCCACAACGATATTGGACTTTTGTAAGTAACCGTCTACGCCAAACTAATTTTGCAATTGCTGTTGCTTAGCACACAAGTCGAACGTTTCGAAATGACACCAACCATGTTCATAAGAAGAATGCGGGATTCTTTGTGATGAATTGGGATCGGAACGCACCTCGCAGCGTTCAAAATTTGGTAAAGGATTTTAAGAACGCAAAGCCGATTACTGACGATTGCGATACCAATCTTCTTTGTGGACTGCCGCTGATGTCCAGCAGGATTATATCAATTATGTAAGGGTTTAACTTTCATGGATTACAATTGGAATAAATTAATCGCATTCAACAGCCAAGACAGCACATGGATACCAGCAGGCCAACCAATCGTGCATGAACAGATCAATTTTAAAATGCTTGCAAAGACGCAGATATCGCCTACTGTAGTGCAGTTTAATTTTTCTGTTGCAGGTATGCGGGCATTTGTTTAAAATCTAATCGGGCAAATGTAATTTTAGGTCCGTCTCGTATGCACATTGCCATTTCCCCAAGATCAAATGCCACATTGTTGAAAACTAATCTTGTACCCGAAATTCCGAAACCGTTAATCTGGAACAAACGTTCGATATATCTTATTTTGCATGCATGGGGACTAGAGATGGATCCTTTGTTCATCTCATTAAACTTTCAAGTGTCCCCTGAATGGAAAGGACCCACCTTTGATATTTCCATAAGCGGGAAATGTGTACATGACCGTACAAATTTAAAAACGCCGCAGTATGTGCAATTTCTAAATAGCTTTCCAAAATGGGCGGATGTTGTGCCACATTTAGCAACGTATGATACTTGGGTTTACTAATAACTAATGTTGAATAACAAAAGTGTACCTTCAACTTTGTATTTTGATATATGCATATGCCAAAGAATTATATTTTGTAATTCAGTTTGACTGTATTGATTGATGAAGAGCTTAACCGTATCATTTTAGTCTACGCCTTTCACCACCCGCAGCGAATCGCCCCAGGAGAGCCTAGAAACAATACGTACTGTCAATGTATGATTCAGTATTGTTTGTGACCAGTTATGGATAACGCCCCATGGGATAGCGGAGTCTCAAACCTACAAAACCTGCCCTGTGGATCACACATATTTGACTAGCCTACTTGGGCGTTTCGCCCTACGGCATTGATTTTGTGAATCAAGTTCAGACAAGTTTTCTATACACTAGAATACAGAATTAGGAATCATGAACGGTTCAAAACTTACCTGAAATCGATTCACAATTAAGTCAATATCGCAGCGCCAAAAACTCCAGGCGAGAATATTTACAAATATATCTACGGCCAAACCGCTGAAGACATTTGGCTGAGGGGAAATGCCAAAATTATTAATGCCGAGTATTTTGTCAAGAGATGGACGTACAGGATGTAGCGTCAGCAACAAAAATCGACCGATAAGAGGGGATCAAGACAATTTTTCTGCAGCCAGCGCTAGAGGGATTTCGAGATCCATTCCATAACAGTTTCATATAACATACAAATTAAAATATTCAGTAAAAATAATCACATTTGGTAATATCACGGAAAAATATCACTGCAAACAAATAGGTACATTACCCCCCATATAAAACAAATAAAATCCCGACTCATCGTAATTGAATTTTTGTAACATACTGTAGCGAATATTCCAGAAATCCCAATAGACTTCGAGGCGCCATGAAAGATTTAGTCATAGGTGATAAAAAAACAAGGCGGATATGACGCAATCTTTCCGGGAAATACGAAGTGTTTGTGCTAGAACATTATGAAACGTCCTTGGCCACTCGAGAATATTCTAGAAAGATATTTTGCCACTTAATCTGACTCATATTCAATAACAAAGCAAGATGCGCACCCCCTCGCGAATCTTCGTCCTTGTGCAATTTGATTTATCTAAGATTCGCGCTAAAACATTTCTAGTGACGTACTTGCGTCTTTCTCCAGGTATGTTACATCACAATTTTGTTTTTCTTTTTTCGACATCGTGTGATGTAGTTTAACAAATTTAATGCCCTGAAATTTGAAATTTTCAATTAAAATTTCAAACATTTTACCGACCCTCTCTCTCTCTCACTGTCTTACCATTGTATATTTGTTAGTATAATGGGCGTGGAAGTTCAAGTTAAGTATGTTTCCCATGTAAACAAAAATTCCAAAGGTGACTTGACAGCAACTCTTTTTTGATCACATTGTATACAATGGTCTCGCCCTAAGAGGTACTAGCTATAACCTCTTTTTTACATTACTTACACCCTCCATGTGATTAATACCCCCACTCAAGCATAGTTGCATAGATGCTTTATTTCATAGCGGAACCTTTTTTATGTAAACCTTAATTGCCTTATTATTGTTAATTTTAGGACGGTAGAACTTCAGAACTATGCAGAATGACGAGCTGGTTTAAAATAAAAACTACAGGTTCGTATTAGAAAAATTAGGTAGATGGCCCAAAAAAATCAGAACGTCGGACTAGTAGGGGAAAAAAAGTTGCAATGAGGAAAATTACATTTGTTTTAATTGCCTATGTTCGGTTTTGGAATATTCACAAACCAACATGGAGTTCTCAGTCAAAATGAGAAATTAGTCACACCCAAAGCTGAGTCACCCGTACCAAAACTCCAGGAGATTACTTCACTGGAAGCCTACCTCCATCGTCCAGGCGAGATTTCAGCACTTGGAAGCGCTACCGTCCATCTCATCAAGGAACTATGAAATCTGTCACCATTCAAGAACCCTTGTAATTTATCTCTTTATGGACACCGTTCTAAGACGTTGCTGGGGTTTAACTGTCTCCACGATTTACGCCTTTAGAATCCAAATCGCCCAGGAAATTGAAAATCAAATCTGTGGATCACAAGTTAAAGCTTTTTCTGATTTTCTTCACTCGGTAACGCGACGGAGCGACTTAAGGTACGTTTCCTATGAAGCGTCTGACGCGGTGCGGCTGACGCAATCCACCGCCCCAATAATTTTTTTGAAGTTGCGAAAGAGAAACGGAAATTGCCCCGGCTTATGATCGGCTTATGGTTTTAGAAAATTCAAAAAAGGAATAAGTTGTGGAAAAAATCGTACCGGCCTTGGATTTAGTAAATCAAACTGGATCAACCTGCTTTTCTTGCGACAAAACGCACGTCAGTGCTTCATGTTCCATGGCTCCGAGAAAATTTTCATTAACATAAAACTAGCGCGTTTAGCATGGCGTCTACTTTTTAAACTAACGCGCGAGTACTTGGGTAAGCTCTCAGCTTTAATTTACGGATTCGTCTACTTGAACCTCTGGACGCGTCCCCACTCTTTTTTAATTTCTAACACGCCTACGAAATGGTGCTAGCAGGTTAAATCTGTTTAGTTGGTTCGTAACCAGATTTTAAGATCGCTTATATAGTTCTCGCGGAAGTTATGAAACTTTGCAGGTTTGGATGTCCAGAACTAAAATTCACAAAATGCACAATCTGAGACATGCCGCCTGCGCCGCCATCTTGCCAGGATGGCGCCCAAAAACGGTTTTTTGCAAATATCTTCAAAACTATGCGTTTTTCGAAAAAGTATTTATTTATTATCCCTCTCTTGTTCTCTAGTATGTTGAGAGCAAAATTGAATAGGCAGAAATTTCCTACAAGAAATGTTCTTAGCATATTTTTGCTAAAATAATTTACTAATCGGTACAGTCCTAGCATAAGTGCAGATGCCGATGTGCACACCTGCAATAAAGCGCCACCAGTGGGCGCCTCGAAGCAGATCGTTTGTCCGTGTCGCTTAACAGTTGTACTGATTCGGTAAAGTAGGTAACCATTTTCCTCGTTGAAGATATGGAAATCAACGAGCAAGATCCGTCTGGCCTTTGCCAAGTACCTAAGTGGATTAGGCCTACAGGGGAAACCACGTTAAAAAAAACGCGCCGTGTACTTTACCTCTTGGGTGGTGTGGAAACAAGTATAGCATTTTAAATCGAAATTAATTGAACATAAATTATTAACATTGATTAATTAATGAATTAATCAATTAATTGAATAAAAGATATGCCATTATTTCGTGTTGTTTACTAGGAACATATTTTATAGGAAACTTCCTCCTCGTTAATTTTGCGGTCTACATACTTTTTCGAAAAACGCATAGTTTTAGAGATATTTGCAAAAAACCGTTTTTGGGCGCCATCTTGGCGGAATGGCGCGCCGGCGGCATACCTCGGATTCTGCATTTTGTGAATTTTAGTTCTAGATCTCAAAAGTTTCAAAACTTCCGGACTTATTTCCTGGTAAAAATCCCCAATTACTGGCCTAAGCGGTTTGGTGAATCATGGAAAGATTTTATATGCCTATCTATACTTTTCCCCTTCTTGTCATTTCTAAATATGATTTCCGCGATTACCACTAGCTTCATGGCATTTATGATTAGAAAAGAGTTTTGTAAATAGGTACTTAGGTATATGATCCGAGTTATTTTGACAAGGGCTTCCTAGGAGAGCTATTTTGACAAGGCGGTATGGTTATGAGCCATTTTGTCGGGACTGTTGTGTTGGGATTCTTTTGTCGGGGTCTACGCGTCACGGCTTTTCACACCTGTTTCTATATTTTCTGGGTTAGATTGGCTTTGGTCTACTGGATTCTGGATTATGATAGGAGGGTGGACAGAGTCCACGCGTACCTAGGCCTCAAATTCGGGCCCTTTTTGTATGTTGGCTGTGTAGCATCCTCTACAAGATGGGTGATTCTATAGACCTATCTATCTATGGTCCTTTGAAGGCTTCTCTTGCATGGCGACAATCATGTTCCATTTAGCCCCCTGTGTTGGGTTATTGTTCTAATTCAGTTTTTGGTCAAGTAAGATTCCTAGATATTTTACCGACTGAAAATTGGAGGTGTTTTTGCTTCTTGGAATAGCATGGGAGTTCGAAGACCCTCCACTTTTCTTGTGAAGAGAACCAGCTCCATTTTTGTCGGGGTGATGGACTAGGAGTATTCCCTACACCATTCTTCGGTTAATCTAAGAGCTGATTGCATCAGTCTGCATAGAGTACAAGAGTAACCTCAAATTTGTCAGTTGTTAGTATGGATATATATCGTCCGCATACCCCAGGGGCGGTATGCTTTAGGCGGAATCGCAGCTTTGGGGTTATATAAAGACCCTCCATTGTTTGATACAGAGGAGAGGGGGATTCTATAGAGCTGCAAAAACTCTTCCATGCCTTATATAGCCTTTGGTTTATCTTATAGGCCTCCCAATCGCCTGAGCTTTGCTCTTCTTTGCCTTACTGAACAGTTTGCCCAACCGAGTTTTCTGCTTTCGAGCGCCCTGCACCATCAGGGACCATCCCTGGCAGTCTTCGGAGGAAATGGCTGCATAATGAAGTTGGTAAGGAGATCTACTTTCTTAGCAAGGTATTATAATCATTAGAAAACCCGAAGGTTTCAGATTGGCAAGCAGTCAAGAGTACCTAAAAGGATCTACGAGCATGGGTATTGTGTACAAACCAAGGTACAAAGCTGGTGAACTAGAGGCGTACCATGGAATCCGAATATATTGCTGCAGGTAAATGTGAAAGAAATGCAATCAAGCAATTACTAAGCGAGGTTACAGAACTCCAAGGCGCTCCATGCCTCAAAATCGACGCCAGTGCACTGCAACTACTGAAAAACCCAGAATTCCATAAACGGTAAAACTAGCACTCATCTTCGCTACTGCGTTGACGTCACAACTAACGGCGGCCGTCATCTCGAGTGCATGGAGTGATGCACTGTTCCCTACAGGGTCTTTAATTTAAGGTAAGTTTAACTTCTTGTTTTAATGTTGTATTAACTGTATTCAAACAGAAGAACTAAGAATATGCCAAACACGTGCAGCGTCCTTGGTTGCAAAACCAATTATAATACAACAGATAAAGTTACGGTTTTTGCAATGTATACACCGGGTTGGTAGACCAGCCTTGTCTGAAACCCCGCCCACTCAGGTAAAAATAAAAATTAAATAATAAAAAAAACTTTCGTGATTACTAGTTACTCCAGGGTTTTTATAAAACATTTCTCCTACAACTTATTATTCGGGTAGACCTTTAATTACGGTCTTGGTGGCAACTCGGGTCGAACAAACTGTTGCATTTGTTGCACATTTCGCTCACAACAATTGTTTTATTGCAGTAATAGCATTTTCAAATTAGGAGTAACTAGCTGCTCCCATGTTAGGATCACATAGTTCATAGAATATAACAATACTGATAAATTGAGTGAACTGTTTTACCTCACTCTGCCCTTTTAGGCCGGATAGGTATAAAAGTGACAAAAAAAAGAGTGGTAAGAGCTAAAACAACAAACATGCAAATTAAAAACGGGTTACAATTAAAAAACTGTATTTATATGAAGAGAGTACATTGAAATGTATGTAGGTATGTATTTTGATTACAAGATATTACACAGCAGTAGCTCATAAATATGAAAATTTTCGTAAATATTTTCCTTAAGCTTAAATCCCTACAATAACAAAGTTAACCTTAGCATATAATGATTGAATTTTCGAACAGTACAAGAGAGCATCGATTGAGAATTAATTAAGTTCTAATAAGAAGATTGATTCGAGCAACTTTTAATACTAAGACTATATGAATTACCCAATCACTCAATACACCCACGACTCGTATGTTGCTAACGCCGCAACGACATCAGTCCACTTAGGAAATTCTTCTAAAAATTGAGTAAACTTGGAAATCTTTACAAACGTCTTATCATTTATATATCTCGCAGTTAGAGCTACATCAAAAGTAGGGTTAGTCCAATTCGACGGTGTCTCGAAATCTATATAAAAGTTCAACGATGACCTTGATTTTAACCAAGAAAACAATATTATATAAGCGGGCCGTCCGTTCCAAAAGATCGGCTCCATTTGCGTTTTTGGAAATAGACGTATCTCGAATACATTAATGTTTCGTTTTGGTGAAATGTACACACCGACGTGATTGGGACCTAAATCACGAATTGCGTATAAAAATATACAAACATTTAGAATTACCTGAAAGAGTAAAATTATAACGAATAGATGTATCTGACAGATATGTTTTGGAGATAAGCTGCAAACTGATCGGTTCCGGAATCTTCGGCTCATCACTCGGTATCCATGTACTATCCCGTCTAAAAACATAAAGAGTGCTTATTCGCTCCTGGCAATATACATCAAATTTAAATACTGACTGTCTTTATAAAATTTCAGTTTATAAAATGGGATATTTAGTTTTTATTTTTAAGTCATACTAGATCCATTCGCTTCATTTATTTTATATTTAAGCGTTTCTTATTAATTTTAATCTTCATTAGTGAAACCATGCCTTACAACTTCAAACTCACAATGTAGGAATTAATTTAGTGTTCACTAACGGAAGTCCACAAAATAGACTACGATCACAATCCTCACTTAATGACTTAATGTCACTCAACTCTGTTATGTATTTCTTCAAATTATTCGGCGAATTGCGGTCTGAGTTGAGTAGGTAAAATCCGGAATCGTTTTTAAAAATTTCGTTTGAATCGTTACGAAATATCCTTTTGGTATGCTGTAATAGAGCGTTTATTACCAAATCGAGCAAAGTATCCAGACTTACATAGATATAATACCTCTGGGGTGCCGGACTTTCCGGATTGCCGCTATATGGGAAACCAAATGGAGTCATTAAGATTATAATGTATATTACGAATATTAATGTTAATGTCATCACTAATGCCATTGGTTTCCGCACTAAAGTAATTAGCGGCATCTATAATAATATTATTACGTTTTGCGCCTATACAGGGTGGTGACTTGCGTAGGGATTTCAATGTAAAATTCATAACATGCGATTATTGGCTCCCCAAATTAATTTAGAGGAAAAATGTATTAAAGTTTTTTGTAGAAACCATTTTTCTACGCCAATCAACCGTATTAGTTTTCAATTTTTTTCATACAAAGACGGAAAATTGGAAATCATCTTTTTTCGATAATCTGCGATGCCATGGAATTTTCTAAAACAAAAAGATATCCAGTTATCAATTAGCAGCAGTTCGAAATGGATTTTATGATCGACTTGGTTACTGTCTTGCAGATAATGGTGACTTATTCGAACATTTATTGTAAATTGTTATATTAGGAAACCGTTTTTACTTTTTTGGTCTTTCTTTATGTTGAATTTGCTGTTCTAAATATAATACTTTTTAATAGAATTTGATTTGTTTTATAGCAGACATTCCATGGCATGACGGATATTCGCGTAGTTTTTCTATTCAGTCGTAGCCTTTATCACTGAAAAAAAAAAAAAATTCCATGGCATCACAGATTATTATTATTCCAATTTTCCGTCTTTATTATGCAAAAAGTTGAAAACCAATACGGTTGATTGACGTAAAAAATTTTTTTCTACAAAAAACCTCAATACATTTTTGCTCTAAAATAATTTGGGGAGCCAATAATCGCATGTTATGAATTTTACATTGAAATCCCTATGATGCGTTACGCAAGTCACCACCCTGTATACTTGTCGTTCACTTACATAATATGATATGGTTAGAATTGTTAAGACAACTATAAGAATGCCCAAATGAACTTCAGAATTTTTATCTGGTCCCGAACGACCATAAACCGAGATTAAAATTATGACTATCTGTAAGGTGTGCTGCATTAAAAACATCGTTGGCAACACCATACCCAAAATGTATAAAATCAGCCACTTTTTCACTGAAAATAAACGTTTTATCTTACAATTAAATACGGATTATGCTCACTTGTATGACGTACTCCAAACATTTCGATCAACCCAAATGTAAATATTTGAAAAGTAATCGGAATAAGTATCACATAGATGAATCTAAATTGTGCCATAGTCCCTACTAATAACACCATTGTCCATATCAGTCTTAAAAGATGCAATTGAATTTGTGTGCGAGCTCCAATACTGAATGTGTTCTGTTGGCAGAATACTATAATCCGTGCCTGTAAATTGGTGCGCATACCTTATCATTAAAATAATTGAAAATCAAAGTAATAGAAAAAATACAGATGTTTGTCGGAATTACGTACAATCCAAAAATTATTAATCGATTGTTGTACCAGCTTAAATTATATTCAAATCCGTCAATTAGTAATGCTATAAACGCTATGAATATTGCGGCAGTGAACCAACCAGTTATAATCGCTGTAGACATTAATCCCAGGTAAATTAATGATTGTCGACATAATCCTAAAAATATATTTGAAATGGGCTCTAGTGATGTCCATGTAGTTAGCAGAGAAATATCATGCAGAATTAAAACAATTTAATAAATTGTTATAACTCAAGTGACTATCCAAAAAATCTTCCTTGAAACTTTCTTATCCTTTTTAAAAACTAAAAGATATAGGGAAATGTTATATTATATAGGATCCTTGGGGAAATGTTCATTTTTTTGCTTAACCCTGTATTAAAGTCGGCCCGTGTGGCGCAGTTCAATTAAAGCTCAACTGTGGTGCTAAGGGTCCCTGGTTCGAATCCGGGTTCGGGCATGGATATTTGTAAATGTATAGTAGGTTGGGTTGGTTGAGCAGCCTTGGCTGAAACCCCGCCCACTCAAAAATAAAGGCAAAATAAAAAAAAATGGATTGTGGTATGTGAGATATAAATCAAAATTTTGTGAAGTATGGACTATTTGATAGTTTTTTCTGCATTATTTTCTAATTGAGCACTGAAAGAGATAAGAATAAGCTTTCTAATGACGTCTTACACGACCTATGATGCTGTTTAAAAAAATTCAAGATGGTGACCGAACCCAAAAACCATGTGTTCAAAAAAATTTTAACCTCAGGATACCGTAAACTGGAGTTACTTTGACCAGAGGGGTAACTTTGAAAAAAAGTTGAATTTTGTTTTTTTGTTTTAACTGAAAATTCTTTTAGGAACGCTATACAATCATTGTAAAAATAAACGTACTAGAAAAATAGGACACCCAAACGCACTGAGTGATGCAGAGGAATTGAGTATTATGGAGAACGCGTTTTATCATCATGGGGATTTCCACTTGACACTATTGACGTTAGAAAATTAGTGGAAAAAACTGTTACGGCATTTAAAAATAATTATTATCCGTCTAATGACTGGACTCGCGGCTTTTTACAAAGACATAAAGATGAAATCACTCTACAGCCCTGTCAAAATATAAAAAGAAATAGAGCAGCTGTATCTACCAAAATGATTGAGGATTACTTTAAAAATTTACAAGTCTCTCTCCAAGGAATACCAGCCTCAAATATATTTAATTTTGATCTGATAACTCAGGATCAAAAAAATGCATATTTTAGAAGGGGGTTAAATATCCCGAAAACCAATCAAAAAGTGCCATTTCTATCATATTCTGTGGCAGAAAAGTCAATAATAAGTTCTTGTGGCCTCAGGTTTTAGACCAGGGGATAATACCAGGAATGAATTAATGAAGGAACTCACTGAACCAACTGCAGGTAGAAGAGATGCCTTACTGTTTAACCTTGTAGAAATTAAACCATATTTAAAATATTTGCAGTACGTTCACATGTAACCTTATGGACACTTTATTGATTTATGAAAACAATTTATTCTTCATATTTTTTGCTTGCTTTGAAAGTACCAATAACGTTTTGATAATCTAAAGTTTATTTATAGAAATCTGGAAAAATAATAAATTTAATTTTTTTAATTGAAAGTTATCATTCTACATTATAATCAAGATTGCGTATTGCTATCAATCCACAAACAATCGAAACGTTTTTGGTACTTTCAAAGCAAGCAAAAAATATCATGAAGAATAAATTTTTTTCATAAATCAACATTTAAAAAAAATTCTCTCTTGTATACCCCATCGCTTTACACACTGTATTTATTGTTTATTTGTGTTGGTGAGCACCCTGTATCTAGTTAGGTACATGTACCCTTACCCTTTTCAAAGAATTTTATTTTTGTTACCTAGGTACTTCTTGCCGTTAATGGAATTAGTACAGTTAAATTAAATACAATTTCCACGAATAGCGGAAGTAATTGAAAGAAAGCTGAAAATTGATATAGAGGTACATTAGGGCTTGTATTCGAACATACTAAAAGTCGGGACCGAAACTCCTAGGGCTCAAGCCGCCATCTTGGAAAAAAGGTACTCCAAATCACTTTTTCGTTTTTCATTTAAAAAAAATTCTCGTGCATTCTAGCAAGTAAAGTTTCATATAAAAAAGAAAACAACATTTTGTATAAAAAAGATGGTATGCACTTTTTTGTATTTTCGTTATTTACGACGATATTCCACATTGAATATAGAGCATAATACTTTTTTCAGATGTAAGTGCATTACTTTCAGCGCTCGCGTGCTTTAGACATGAATATGTTTAAAAAATTGATGTAGCTGACATTTGGGGGCCTGTTGACCAGTGAAGAGAAGGGCAGTTTTATCTAAAATTAAACACTTACAACATATTGTCACTCATCAGATGCGTGTTTTGTATTTCTTGTTAATCCAATCACTGTTAATGTATGGAATTATTGGCTGGGGATATTTTATGCTAGTGAATCCTTATACAGCGTTATACAGGGTGGATTTCAACGGTAATTTCTTTATAGTCAATTACTAGCTCCCCTAATTATTTTAGAGCAAAGCGCTAAAGAAGTTTTTTTTAGACAAAAAAATACTGCATCTGCATTTTTATTTTTATAAATCAGTGATGATTGGGAATCTTTTAACAAACTACAAACGCATCGCATCTACTATTAAGTTATTGTTGTTTGACGTCTAACGATTTTTATATTTAATTCTGTATTCTTGTACTGCTTGGAATCGGCCAATTGGGGTACCTAACACTAAATACACACGTTACTTGGCGGGCATTATTTCCAGCATAAAACAACTTTAACATTTCTCGTCAGTTAAATACGAGGTTAAATACATGATAAACAAGTAAGTGACAATAAGGAAATTACCATTGAAATTCCTATGCTGCGTGGCGCTAGACACCTCCCTGTATAAGGAATCAAATGTAATGAATTTACGCCAACTTTACTCCTCCAGGTCACAAAAAAATCCAAAATTACTGCCCAACATGCATAATATACTTTTCCCAAGGTCTGAAAAAACAATCTGTAAACGATGTGCTCAGTACATTGCTCCAAGGCTTTATTCCATTCTACGCGAAATGAAAAACAATACAAGCCCTCATGTACCTCTACACCAACTTTTCCGATTAGACTTCTCAATCAAAAGCTATGGACTACCAATTTCGAAAGAAAATTCAAAGGGTTGTAACTATTGATCTAGTAGCCCAATCTTGGAACTGTTTGAAATTATGGATTCTACAGGCCACATTCTATAAGAAAATTTTTTTTCCGGGTCGATCTGAGACAATTTTTTTTCGGGGCTCAAAAAAAGGCAGTGTATAACCTTCCTTTTTTACCAAAAATCGACTACACCAAAATTTCTCGGGAAAACACTTCTTCTTATTAATTTTGGTGCGTAGAATCCAAAACAATTCATACTTTTTCGATTAGACTTCTCAATCAAAAGTTATGGACTAGAAACCAATTTCAAAAGAAAATTCAAAGAGCTGTAACTTTTGATCTAGTAGCCCAATCTTGGAACTGTTTGAAATTATGGATTCTACAGGCCACATTCTATAAGAAAATTTTTTTTCCGGGTCGATCTGAGACAATTTTTTCTTCGAGCCTCAAAAAAAGGCAGTGTATAACCTTCCTTTTTTACCAAAAATCGACTACACCACAATTTCTCGGGAAAAAACTTTTTCTTATTAATTTTGGTGCGTAGAATCCAAAACAATTCGTACTTTTTCGATTAGACTTCTCAATCAAAAGCTATGGACTACCAATTTTGAAAGAAAATTCAAAGGGCTGTAACTTTTGGTCCAGTAGCCCAATCTTGGAACTGTTTGAAATTATGGATTCTACAGGCCACATTCTATAAGAAAATTTTTTTCCGGGTCGATCTGAGACAATCATCTTTCTTTCAATTATTTCCGCTATTTTTCCTACTTTGACTGGCCTAAATATACCTCATAGTGTTCAGGTCTCGGTTCAGGCTTTCTTTATTTCGCATGAGTGACTGACTTTTTTCGGAAACGATCCTGGTGTTTTTGAAAGAGTTCATTAGTCAGAACGGGGGGTAGTCATTTTGAAAAGTTCATGTAGATTAAGAAACATTACCTGCAATTTTTTTGGGCAATAAATTGTTATTGTCGAAATTCTTTTGCGCCCTGTATATTCGAAACAAAGCGCTCTATCAAAAATCATCGAAGGACAAAATATCCTTAGAATAGTCCAAGAAATAGCCCCTTAAATTTTTGCCGCATTTTTAATAAACACCCTGTATAATTTAGTTATTAAAAATAGATATTTTTCAAATCTACTAAGGCCCCACCTCCCCCGATACAGAAACGATCCTGGTGTTTTTGAAAGAGTTCGTGAGTCAGAGCGGGGGGTAGTCATTTTGAACAGTTCATGTAGATTAAGAAACATTACCTGCAATTTTTTTGGGTAATAAATTGTTCTTGTCAAAATTCTTTTTCGCCCTGTATATTTGAAACAAAGCGCCCTATCAAAAATCATCGAAGGACAAAATATCCTTAGAATAGTCCAAGAAATAGCCCCTTAAATTTTTGCCGCATTTTTAATAACACCCTGTATAATTTAGTTATTAAAAATAGATATTTTTCAAATCTACTAAGGCCCCACCTCCCCCGATACAGAAACGATCCTGGTGTTTTTGAACGAGTTCGTGAGTCAGAGCGGGGGGTAGTCATTTTGAACAGTTCATGTAGATTAAGAAACATTACCTGCAATTTTTTTGGGTAATAAATTGTTCTTGTCAAAATTCTTTTTCGCCCTGTATATTCGAAACAAAGCGCCCTATCAAAAATCATCGAAGGACAAAATATCCTTAGAATAGTCCAAGAAATAGCCCCTTAAATTTTTGCCGCATTTTTAATAAACACCCTGTATAATTTAGTTATTAAAAATAGATATTTTTCAAATCTACTAAGGCCCCACCTCCCCCGATACAGAAACGATCCTGGTGTTTTTGAAAGAGTTCGTGAGTCAGAGCGGGGGGTAGTCATTTTGAACAGTTCATGTAGATTAAGAAACATTACCTGCAATTTTTTTGGGTAATAAATTGTTCTTGTCAAAATTCTTTTTCGCCCTGTATATTTGAAACAAAGCGCCCTATCAAAAATCATCGAAGGACAAAATATCCTTAGAATAGTCCAAGAAATAGCCCTTTATATTTTTGCCGCATGTTTAATAAACACCCTGTATAATTTATAATTATTAAAAATACATATTTTTCAAATCTATTAAGGCCCCACCTCCCCCGATAATGGATAAATAATCATTTCCAAAACAGACGTGCTAATAAAAATATCAGCAGTTCAAGTCCAAAATTTTGCAAAGTAACCTCAGTTTACGGGATATTTCAAACAGTTTGAGCGTGAGGGCTTTGGTTCCATCTTTAATAGCAAACCTGTATAACTTATGTTATACAAATGGGAACTCCACCACTCATTATCAAAAATGTGTTTTTTTAAAACAATGTTTATACTTAGCTGTTCATTTTGCAAAAGTAAGCTACGATTCAGTATAAGAAAATTATGTTTACATCATTATATTATAATGTAATAGATACATGAAAAAGGAGTATTTTGATAATCTGTTGACACTATAATATTCCTAAATGGTCACATGTATCGATGGCATGCAAGCAAACTAACAAGAATTCAAAAAAATAACATACATTTTTCATGTGTGCAAAATTATACAAAAGCTTGCCCCCTTGAAACTTTTTGGAAACCTTTTTGTTAACTTTAAGAATATTTTTAAAATTCCTTTTCCTAGAGCTTATTTGTAAATGTTTGGGGAAAATTTTAATCAATCTTTTTAGGGATCTTCCTAGAGATATTGATCAGCTTAGAGGTCTTTAATAAAATATCTTCATAAAAAGCTTATTCTATTTGACATATTCATTGGGTTTGAGTTTTGAGACACCTGACAAATATTTTTAGAAACCTTGTGCGAAATATTCTAATTGTCTTGCAAATAGAATCTGTCCCTTTTGTAAATAACACCCCCATATGATATCTACTTCATCATAGCTTAGCTTGTATTGTTCTGCTAGTTACATGGACATAAAATTACGCAATTGACTTACTCAGACCAAAACTGTGGAGATTCCTAAGTGCCACGATTATAGATAAAGATGAGACGGCGATGTGGATTAATGAAGCAATTGCAACCGTGTAATGAATCACAAATAATTCAAAAAAATCGTAAAATATAACCTTGTCTACTGTTTGGCCTAAAGGCTTCAACTCCTGCGCGTCGGCTAACCCTTGAACTAGTGTTAAAAGATTATCTCCTACATGCTGAATTGACTCTATCGGTACACTAGCATAATCGTCAAACCTAGTGTGAAATTTATAACCGTTACGAAAAAACGTGAACTCCACACCGACTGTATTTCCATAATCTTTCATCATGTTAAAATCGGCACCTAGAGGTACAAAGCCGAACTGCAGCAATTCTTCGACACACGCTAAGGTGCGAGGGCGCGGTACCTTCTGATAGTAATACAAGAACCACGGACGATTTGGTCCAACACGAACGAGCGTCTCTTTTCCACCTACGCCCACCGAGTCCAAATTGATGAAAGCACTGACCTCTTTTGCCCATTTGTGTTGCGTTACAAAACCGTGCACCGCATGTGACCACATTTCGCCAGCACCATTGAAAAGAAACACTATGTTGTGCTCGTAAAGTTTTGTGGATCAGGATAATTTTCGTAGAAGCTCCAACATGGTTGCACAATTTACGCCATTGTCACCAGCACCTACATTTAGAAAGTGAGCGGTGGTCGCTACCACAAGAAATAGCTTACCGGATGTACCCGGAGCAGAGTCAAAATGTGCATTAATCAGAAGCGTATGTCGCGAGTGGTTTGAAGAGTGCAACTTTACAAGCACATTTTGCACTTTGTCGTAAACGCTCACAAATCCCTTGTCTACAAGATAAGAACCGGAAGCTACCTGTTCGTCCACCTCCATTTTCTGAACGGCATTTGCCTCTTGCTTAACCTCTTGTATTTTTTGCCGTAAATAGTCCACAGCCGTCACTTCATTCTCATAGCTACCGATAATACGCGGGCCAATCTCTGTAAACTCTTTAAGATCTTGTTGCACGCGTTCCGCAATGAACGCAGCGGGATTGTCTTTCTGTAATTGCCTTCGTGTGAGTTTGGAAAGGGGGCGAAACATACATTTACCTCGTCAATAATATATAATGGGTTGGGAAAAATACCATCAATCAAATAAACGATTCCATACAAACTAAATATAAACATGATAAAGATGATTGCAATTACAGGTGGAACTGTATGGCGGTTTGCGGCGTAATGTTCGGAAGGATCATCACCACCACCGTGCATTTTATTTAAAAATTTATAAAGGTACTTATATAAAAACTACTGTAAACGTTAATTTATTGGAAGAGGGAGCTCGGAAACTGGGCCTGGGAAGAACAAGATTGGCAGAAATCAGATAACAGCCGATGCAGTGACGCTCAACATTTTGGGATGTTCCATTAGGAAGACTCTCAATCAATGGGGTATACAGGGAATAAAAAATTTTCTGTGGCTGGCACACCCTCACCCTCAGACTTGTGCATGCGCGTTCTGCCCAAAAGGGTTCAGCTCGTGCCTCGTTCTTTTACTAGTGCAGCTGCAGGGTAATTAGACATAGACCCCGATATTAATAAAGAGCTAAATTATTGATTGATAATCCAAAATTCACAAAAAAATAATCTTGGAGAGAATGCGCCATTTTGAAAAAATCATTGCAATCTTGGATATGTCAAGTACGGCTAAAGCTGGATGGTCAATAGTTTGAAATGTCAAGCACATTTCAAATTATTGACCAATCATAAGCATTTCGGATGACCGTATCGTCGGATTTCGTATTCATGTGAATCCAGCTTAAACCGATAATCGGATTCATCGAGATAATCGGATTATATTCGTTTTTGCGCCAAATTGCTTCATTGCGCAAACCCCTCGACCAATGACGTTATCCGTGAATCCAATTACAAATACCGCGAATTCGGTTGAAGAAGATGGCCCATTATTGAGGTTATCAACGGTCCCAAATACCAAACGATTACCTATATTGCGAAAAAAGAAAAAGAAAGAGCTTTCTATGTGCATAGAAACGATATCTTGTTTTCCGAAGATACAGAGTGAACACTCCAAAAAAGGGCAATCTTTATAACTTTAAATGGTAATTTGATGTTACAGAATTGGGAAAGGTAAAAAAAAAGAAAGGGCATTCTCGCCTGAATACAGTTTTCCTATTTATATAAAACCCTTTACTTCCACAGGTATTTCCATTTCATTCTTGGAATAGTTATGTAATAATACCATTGAATTATAATACATTAATTAGTTGTGTTAATGCTTTAATTAGTGAACTTTATAGAAAATTTGCCATTAATGACGTAAGTATAGATTGCGTAAATAATTCTGTCTTAATTTTCGAAGCACGGTATTCCATAATGACTAATGAGACAAGGTATGCACAAAACGCAAAATTTTAGTAGCACCATGTACTTTGTTTACTACTTTATCTTATGACATCATCCTATATAAAACTGAACCTAACCTAGAAAATTCACGTTGGTTATTTTTACTTAACCTCAAATACTGTGTTTTGATCGCTTTAATTTTGTCGCCGCGAAATGAACGCAAATAAGCTATATTGCATATACGCCGGAACTGTTCGAGGAGCTGTAGCACGTAAGTGTGTCGTACGTAATTTCGGCACTATCTCGGGCTTTTCCAGATGTTGAATCTCGACCCGATTCCGATATTAACTTTCAACTCAACGATGTGGAGAAATCCGAAATTAAGTCTATGCACTGGGGCCGATCTGAGACGGAGATTATCATAGGCCATCAAAATGGTTCTGTGAGACTTTACAACACTTTAACAAACAATTTTGTACAATCGTTAAGTAATCTGGACGGGGATGGTGGTGTTTGCGGTTTAGGTGTTTTAGACAATTCAGTATTAGTGGCACGAAATAGTGGTGTCATTAATATATGGTCTAAGAATAATGTTGAAAGTTTTAAACTGAACTTACCTGATGATAGCACGTTAGATTGCATGGCTCAAAATTTTAATAACTACAATGTGATCGCAACTGGTGGGGAACGGAACGATTTAAAGTTATGGGACATTGAAACTAAATCATCTATATTCAAAGCGAAATCGGCAAGTAACTGCAGTTAATTAAACTTTGAAAAAAACTTGGTTGTTCTAGATGGGACATGACGAATTGAACTTACCTATACCTACCTCAGTTCGAGGTATTTGTTTCTTCAACAACGAAAATAATTTAGTCAGTTGTGCAACAAAGGAAGGCCATGTTTTGTTGTACGATGGTCGGGTTCAAAGGAGACCTATTGTTAAGTTCTTGGAGGTAAAGGCGAGCTACTCGGCAATTGCTTGCACATATCGTGATAGGTACGGATGTATTAGTTAATTGATATTAATTGGCACATTGTAGACAAATTGTGGCCGGAACTACAAGAGGTTATATACAGTTACTGGATTTAAGGGCTTCAAAGCGTTGTCTTCGTACTTATAAATCGTTTACTGGCGGAGTTACAAGTTTAGTATGTGACATATCGTCGCCTGTCGTTATAAGTACAAGTTTAGACCGATTTGTGCGCATTCACGATTTGGACACAAAGAATTTGCTGTACAAGGTACGGGTGTTAGCCAAATATTTAAATGTAATATTATCCCCCTTGTAGAAGTACATGAAGCAGAGTTTAACGCAAATTGTTATTAAGCCCATCTTTAAGGAGGAACCGAAGGAAGAAGAAAAGGATAGTAAATTTAATAATGAAAATGTAGATGCAGAATTTGAGGAGATGTTTGATCAAATGGAAACAATAACTGAGAAATCGGTAAAGAAACGAAAAAAAATAACAGAAAGTCAAGTCAAGCACACAAAGTTGAAGAGAATTAGCAATTAGTTATATAATTGACATGATAAGAAGTAAAAATTTATAATATGACTGTGGAAGATTTATTAACGATCCTCAGATCCTTTATAGTTTTGTATGGTTGTCCGCCTATTCGTCTGTGTTTGCTATAACCCTTAGTTAAGATCCTTAAATACTTTTTATAACATTTAATTTTTCTCCGTCTGTTTCTATGCGCTATAACTCTTGTTAAAAATGGCTGAAATTGATGTACGGGTACCTTTGACTTTAAGGTAGGAGGCTATTAATTTTCAGAAAGCCAACAGAAACATTAATTATAGGATTTTGAGTGAATCGGAAACACGAAAAGCTGTGGGATCAGTATAATAGAAATCTACATACATGGTGGTGACTTGTGTAACGCATCATAGGGATTTCATTGTAAAATTCATAATCATGCGATTATTGGCTCCCCAAATTATTTTAAAGCAAAAATGAATTAGTTTTTTGTAGAAATAGTTATTTGTTTCATTAGTACAAAAAATGTCAGTTTTCGGGACGAGGAAGATAGTTGCTGGACGACGCGTTAGCGGAGTCCAGCAACCTTCCGAGTTCCGAAAACGCATTTTTTGTACGAATAAAACATAAAATTTTTTCTCCAACCCCCTTTACTTCAAATTATATTCAAATTTAGATTCATTCACAGTTTCACTACTAGTATAAGAACTTCTGCTTTCTTGTCCTCACGTGTCATGCCACTCTATGCTTTTAGGTTAACTTATAACCTATTCGTTCTTACTTCTGACTTCTCACCTCTCGCGACTTTGTAGGGAGCAAATCTTGAGGTAGCATGTTCTGCCGTTTCTAAAATCTCTGGCGAAGTGCAATCCATGTCGCTATCAGTTTCAGTCATTTCTATTGTATACACAATTAATATTGTTATATTTTGTATTGAAATAAAAAACTTACCATACAGTTTTTTAATTAAAATTAAATGCAATTAACTTTTTCAAATTTTGAATTCAAAATGACAGATAATAGTGCAATGGGTCTGAAGTAGATGGCGTTACGCGCGACGGCGGGTTGTATACGTATTAAAATTACGTTCATCCAATAGCCAGGTTGCGGACAGCATTTTCCGTTATGTTAGACGGCCATTTTCCCTTATAATATAAGTTTATAAGTATAAAACATTTTTATAGCAAAGTTAAGTTGCGGTGTGTGCTGGGCGTGTTCAATTTTACTTATAAGTTTGAAGGAGTCTTAACCTCACTTTTATTTTACATTGTGTTAAAATGTCCAAAGTTCACTACTATGCTCTTAGACAAAAAGAAAAGAACTACCGCCAACATAAACACTGCACAATTGTAGGTTAGCAGGAAAATGTTATTTATGAGTGATTATGTACTGCGCAGTGACACATTATAAGAACTTCATTTTCATTGGTTCCGCTATTTATAAATATATCGTACAAAAAGCCCTCATACCGTAAATTATTTCTACAAAAATTTATATTTCTTATGTTATAAGAAAAAATGGCCGTCTAACATAACGGAAAATGCTGTCCGCAACCTGGCTAATATGTAAATTACATTACACATGGTTTAAATAAAAATAGCGAGCGTAAATCATTTTCAATACATGTACATACGTATAGGTAACATCATTATTTGCATTGAATAAGCAAAAATATTTGATTTGTATGTATAGAAATATCTTACAACCTGCAATGTAAAACGATGTCAATGTGACATATCTCCGTGATTGTAATTTTTTAATTGGCCAACTTTCAAGGTCAATTTCTTTTTGGTACTAGGACCAAAAGTATCCACTTTTTGTACAGTTGCCATGGTGAAAGCGATTAATCCGCAAAACGTCAATTTTACGTACCGAACACTGTCACAAAATAGCGTCTTATTCAGGTGGTTGGAGAAAAAAATTTTTTTACACCACTCAACCGTATTAGTTTTCAATTCAACCCGCATCTTTTTCAATAATCTGCAATGCCATGGAATTTTCTAAAACAAAAAGATATCCAGTTATCAATTAGCCGCAGTTCGAAATGGATTTTAGAATCGACTTGGTTACTGCCTTGCTGTTAATGGTGGTGGTGACTTTTGATTTGTTTTATAGCAGATATTCCATGGCATGACATATTGGCGTAGTTTTTGTATTATAAAATTCCATGGCATCACAGATTATTGAAAAAGATGGGGGGTTTTATTTTTCCAATTTTCTGTTTTTATTATGCAAAAAATTGAGAACTAAAATAGGGTTGATTGACGTAAAAGAATTTTTTTCTACAAAAAACCTTAATACATTTTTGCTCTAAAATAATTTGGGGAGCCAATAATCGCATGTTATGAATTTTACATTGAAATCCCTATGATGTGTTATGCAAGTCACCACTCTGTATATCATCGTATTATAGGTCATGTTATTGAGTTCAGACTTTTGCTCGATTATGACTAAGATATGTAACAATTCAATATCACTATTCTCTGTGGTCTAGGTCAAAAGTGTTAGAGAAAAATGTACCCAAAATAATTATTCTTTACACATGAATTTGGAGATATAAAAGCTTTCAAATGCATTATCTTGATGCTGAAAGAATACACTGCATGCACATTTGATTAAATTCTTTTTCTGACAACGTATTTTGATCAAAACATGCCAAAATCGTTATTCATGCACCAAGATGGTTGGGAAGAAAACTAAAGAGCATTATATCAATGCCTCAGACATGAATTTTGGTTGACCATATGTGTTTTGATAGGAAAATGGCAAAATCTTTATTGGGCATCATTGGAAAAAAAACCATAAGAGCATTATTTCCAGCTTTTTGCCAAAATGTTGGCACCTTTTTAAGTTTTTAGAAAGCAAGTGTTTTTTCAATCAGCCCATTCTATACAAAATGAAAATAGACCAAATCTCTTACATTTTTCATATATATCGTTTTTTTAAGACTAACATTTACATTTCCGCCGTGAGAGCGCACTAAAGAAAAACATATTCGCATATCTAGTCAAAAATACCGTTTTCGCGGAAATCGCCCATGGTATGATACTTAACTGTTAAGTTATACTAGTTTTTTATATTAATTTACCTTCTTTCTTGATATGGACTGTGGATGAATCAAAGAGTGTCGCAATACCTTAATTCTTTCGGTAACATTCTAAATGTACATTTGTTCATTATATTGTTATTAATATAGTTACCTATATCCTCACTATATTCACAAAAATTTACCAAAACCCCCACCTTGCCGATGTTCTAAGTCTGTTAAAAAACCTGTGGCCACCCCAAAAACCATTACAGCAGCCAGGAAGAGTTTACTGGTCAACGTTGGGTTGATTCTGTTCCAGCAATCAGCATAGCTTGTAAACAGGGGCGGACTGACCCAGGGGGGGGGGGCGGGGGGCGGTTGCCACCTGGCCTGTTGGAAATTTATAAGTATGTGCTGTACTTAGTTTCTTGCACTATTAATAAATTATTAACACGTTTCTCTAATATTGGGTTTGATGTTAGGTTCTTAAAAAATTCTGTTTTAATTGAAGTGTTTTACAATGAATTTATCATTTTTTGTCGTAGCATGAAAGTGCTCAAATACAATGATAAGCGACGCACCTCGTATGGATTGTATATTTTGTTACTTTTAATTATCAGCTGCAATTTAAAAAAAAACTGTATGGTAATTTTCTATAAGAAAACTTTTTTTCCGGGTCGATCTGAGACAATTTTTTCTTGGGGGCTCAAAAAAACGCAGTGTATAACCTTCCTTTTTTTACCAAAAATCGACTACACCAAAATTTCTCGGGAAAACACTTTCTTATTAATTTGGGTGCGTATAGAATCCAAATCAATTCGTACTTTTTCGATCAGACTTCTCGAGGATCTTTAATAAATCAGCGATATTTTTGATTTTGCGGTCTCGGATCATGACTTTAATCTAATAATAGGATTATTGATTGAAAATTGAAATTCAATGTTCCAAGCTTGATTATCCGTAGGTGTATCGTTTTCGTTGGATGGCATGGAGGCATTTGTGGGAAAAGTAGTGTGCATTTGTGCAACACATGGTGCAAGGTGTACTGTAAGGTAAACGTGACAACGTTACACTGGTCTCGAACACCGGAAGCGGAAACACAGTCACGACGACGGAAGTCACGTGGATGCACGCGACAAGAGGTAGGTGCAAATTACCTAGTATACACAAAGGCTCCATTTATTGGCATCCTAATTTGAACAAGAGTATTTCCCGTTTTTTAGCGCATTTTTTTTAAGAATTAAAAATAAAGCATTTAAACGATGCCAGACGGTCCTCATAAATTGTTGTTGAAAAGGGACCTCCAGCTCCCGATATCTGTATAAGTTTTACATGAGACAACCAGTTTGCCTCAGTTTGCATACGCATGCCTTCACGACTTCTTTTCGAAATCAGAGGGAGATTGGGGGGGGGGGGGGCATATCCATTGGTGAAGTCAAAAGGAATTATGTCGACGTTTTTAGATTAAATGTCTCATCTCCAGGTGGGGCCACTTCACTTAATTCTTTTAAATGGAAACGGAATTTATAACATATTGTTGTGAAAACTTCCTAAGACTGAAACTACCCAGACAACTTACCCTTGCTAGCTCAATCTTACAAAAACTCTAAAACACAAATCTCAGGGCCCGTAAAATGAGTCCGACTACCCCTTTTCTTCGTCCGGACCAGGTCGGTGGCTAATACCTCCCTTAAATTCCAAATAAAATAATCCCTTGTTAACTGACTTCTGGAATGAAATTTAAGTCCCACCGATGATCCAAACCTTTTTACGTTACCAAACTCGTTTCACACTCGGGATAAAAAAAAGAAAACTTAAAATTTGAGAAACTCGAATCCTTGACCTTTACTTTGACACACTAAATAATAAATGACAAAAAAAATTTACAAAGCTAAATTTACAAAATCTGAAAAAAAATAACTTACACGAATTTAACAATAACAAGACAAAATTTATTACATTTAAAATTTACACTAATTACGGATTCGATTTTCCCAGACTTAAGTTTCTTAATTAACTCCGGCCGAGCATTAATTGAACTAAAACAATGATCCTCTGCATAAAAATGGGAAATAAACTTCTTTCCAGAGTAAATAAATGCCTTCCAACTGCGGCCTAATAAAAAAACACAACAATATATTTCTTATAATTTTACTTATAAGTGCTACCAACATACTCATCTCTTTTATTTTTCGAGAAAATAAAATTTTTTATAAGTTTAACATGTGCCTAGGTGCCTCCGTAAGTGCTTAAGAAATTCGAATGAATGAAAATAAACCTGATAAATTTTATATCATGCAATGATAAAATATTGTACTCTGTGGATATAATACATGCATTCGAATTTTCTAAGCATTTATGTACGCATACGTGTTATACATGTTAATTTATAGAAATTATTTTCCCGATAAGTAAATATGAATTCCAAAATATAATAAAAAAGTTATGTAGCGCCACCTGGTGGTGACGCTTTAATTTAATTAAAATTATCAAAAAATATATGGCTCTAACGTCCACGCTGAACGGCAGCTGTACCTGTAGCGTACATTTTGAATGTGTTCCAGGCGGCCTTTTTATATGTTTATTTCTAAAGAACCCCCCCACCCCCACCCCTTAATCATCTACCAAGAAGGTAAACATCGATTAATAAAAATCTGAATTATTATTCAATGGTTGTACTTAGTACGTACAATACAAGGTGTAAATTTTGAATGTGTTACAAAATTTAAGGACGAAATTATACTACCTATACCCCCTTTTTGTAATGATCCACAAGCCTAAGGTAACATGGTGAGAAGGAAAAGATAAATTATGCTTAAGTACGTTTATTTTCGTATTTGCGATCATTTAAAAAGACCAGGCGTCGTTTATTACCAGCTTTGCGTCAACATTTGTCCATATCGGAAATGATTTTAGATATTTATCATAATACGGAATTGAAATGTTGCTTGAAGAGTAATGATAACTACCTCTCAGTCGAAACTGTAAAGCTTTTGCGTTGTGATCCACTAAATGTACTTTAAGTACAAATCTTAAGGGTAAACTCTCCTTCCCCCTAATGTAGTCTATATAATAGTCGGTTACGTTGCTTTGCAAGATTACGGACTCGTTACTCATGTAGATTTTTGCACTTCTGATGATTGCATTATTCATTGTTTCGATGACGAGAGACATTGTGCTGGGACCTGTAAATTAAACTATTAGAAATATCGAATTTTGACAGAATTTCATATTTTTTACTGCACATAATTTCACACATATACATTTTGAAAATTTGGTCCATTGGTTTTTCTGCTCTTTAAAACTAATCCTATTTGATCTTTTATTGGAAAACTTAAGAATTCTTCATAGTCCTTCAGCTGGATTCTACTTAATAGGCCGTGTTGAGATTTACCCATTTCGTCCATTATGCATAATACGTGAACCATTTAAATTTGTTTAAATTTGATGCATTGGCGCGAAGAAATTACCAAGAACCAAATGATCCAGGAATTCAGCGTGTCCCGTGTCGTGTGGAAAATGTTTAGTTCACATAACTCACATACCTTCTATCGTAAAGTTGTATTGAACCGTGGATGGGTTTAGATATATTCTTGAATCTAATTGTAGTTGTACGGTTTTATCAAGCGGTATGAGATCACTATCTTCGTCAAACTTCGGTTCCCTGACATACTTATATAGTGTCTTTTCTGCATTGTAATCTCCACTACAATGTAGCTGCTTTTCTCTTGCAATCACACTATGTGTCATCTCATTTCGAAACACTTGGTTGGAATACTAGACAAAGTTTGATAAGTTCTACTTCCAAACCCTTTGGTTTGTTACCTACGTAACACACGAAACGCTGAGGCGAAGCTGCATTGTCAGTTGCACTATAAGGGAAAGCTATCGGCGTGAATATCAGTACGAAAAATATCACAAAAATGCCCAATGCAGATCCTATGGTAATATACCATCTCCTTAGTAACGTGACAAATGGCACCTAAAAGTGATCATGCATTTTGCCATATTTCCAATTCTATACTTACGTAGATGGAGCCCGCAAATAATGTCAAGAGTAAGTATAATAACGCAATGAAGAGTTCTGGGTGCAGGTATGGGTTAACAGCTGAAGCCGTGACAGTAGGCGTAAGAAGTAACATTAGGTAAATGATGAACATGGTAGCTGGAATTGTGAAAATGAAATACAGAATTTGCCAAACTCTAACTACAAAGAGAGAATTAGTGTTTTTTTTAGTAAACCAAGGTACGATCTAACCAGTGTATTGAGAGCAAGTTAGGTGTATTAATAGAAACGCGCCCGTTTGAAAGACCACCGGGACTAAGACAATGTAAGTACTTCGAATACCCATGCAAGTTCCAACCAGTAGCACGACGGTCCATATCAGTCTTAACATGTGTAACTGCAGTTGCGTGTGCATGTTATACGTCAAATCCTGAAAGTAGGAAATTGAATTGATGGATGCTGATACATTAGCGAAAAGGTTACTTTTGCTACAAATTGTTTAAACAATGCAACCGGGACACAAGACATCGCCGATATAGGAATGACATATAATCCACAGATCATCCATGGATTTCCGTACCAAATCATGTTGTAGTCTTGTGCTCTGAGAATGAAAGATACTGTTACGGCGAAAGCTGCTGCCAAGGCCCATCCCAACATTAATCCTAGGAAAGTCACCAAAGCGTATGCAAAAAATGTCTTGCATTCTAGAAATGTTCAGTGGCCATCAACACAAAATCTGAACTGTTTACTCACTTTTTCGAAAATCGTAAAAAGCCTTTAGCGCAATGAGAACCGATAAAATTACAGTAATAGAGTTTATGAAAACTCCAATGGTTTTAGTGTAGTATATCAGAAATAATCCCAAAAAATCATAATAAACATGTTCAGTTTCCTCCTGCGTTTGACTAATGTCCAGTATTTCAGATGCGTTCGCCAAGTTTTTGACTAATTTTAATAGTAAATCGCCGGTATGCTGATAAGAACCCAAAGGTATATTGAGATCATCAAATCGGGTGTGGTATCTTTGTTGATTTCTAACAAAAGCGAAATCGTATCCGCTGTATTCGTCCATACTGTTGAAGATAGTATAATCAGTACCAAAAGGGAGAAATGTGTAAAGCTCTTCGGCAATCACTTGGGCGTGAGGCAATGTTACCGCACCAAAGTAGTTTAAAAGCCATGGCTGTTTGGAGCCGACTTGAAAAAGCAAAATTTTACCACCAACTCCATTTGCTTCCAAATTAACAAAAACCCTAATTTCGTGTGCCCAACGGTGGTGTGCCACAAAGCCATTACTTCCCAGTAATCCAATCTCTTCCGCGCCATTGAAAAGAAAAACTATGTTATGAACGTATTGGGTTGGCGAATTTGCAAGTTTGCGCAAAATTTCTAATGCAACGGCACAGTTAATTCCGTCATCGCTTCCACCTAAAAGTGAGAGTGACTCCAGACCTTCACCAGACATGGAGCCTTACCTGGACTCGTGGGGGCTGTATCAAAGTGCACGTTCACAAGAATTGAGTACTTTGACTGACCATGCACTTTCACTACTAAATTTTGAACGTTTTCAAAGATTCGAAGATGGTCAGATACTTGACCAGAGACCACTTGTTGATCAAACTCGATTTTTTTATTTTCATTAGCGTTTGCGATAATTTCCGCAATTTCTAATGTTAATGTCTTCACTGCTTGTACATCATTCGCGTCAGTACCAGTAATCCGCTCGCCGATGTCGACTAATTTCTTCAAACTGATCTGCGCTCGTTCCGCAATAAATCGTTCAGGATTGAGGATCTAAGGGTGTCATGTTTATCGCACATTCAAAGGTGGTGAGTATACCTACCTCGTCTTCAATGTGTAAAGGAGTTGGACGTATATCGTCAATTAAGTAAACAACTCCGCACAACCCCGATACAAATATTATAAAAATTATACCGGCAATTGTCGGTATTTCGCCACTTTGTCTATGTCTTTGGAGGTCCTTTGATGGTTCTTCATTCGCGTATTCTTCCTCCATTTCCAAATTGTAACTAATTATCATAATCGCATTAAATTGCAATGCGTAATATGTTATAATTGGAAATGATAACTGATGGTGTAATGCGAGATATTGACAATGACCTGAATTAACATTTCCACATATGTGGAATGATGTGTTGTCAATATTATAACAACATTGGCATTCTAGGGAACGTTTTAAAATATTTTACATTTTCGCTTTAACCTAATAACTGCATTGTACCAGGGGGTGCTGCGTAAGAAGTGTAAAATACGCGAAAAAACGCACTTTCGGACCTGGAAGGGAAGATATACCCTACTTATGTAAAACAAGTTAAAAAGTAATCGTAAACGATTTACAAAAAGCGCATTTCCACTTGTATTCATTTCCCATTTGTAAGATGCAGCTTCTGTTAAAATCGTAAAAATCCGGCCACAAATATGAAAGATAGCGTTGCACATGTACAATCCATTTTTGACGTGCTACTTCAATTTCTGTTTATGAGAAGAATTTCATTTCAATGCTTTTCTAAATAAGAAAGTTGGAACTGCGCATGCGCAAATCTAAATTTTGAAACTAACGTTAGATTTTCCTTTATTCCAAGCGCTTATGTATCAAATTTCATTTAAATACTTCCATAAATAAACAAGTTAAAAAGTAATCGTAAACGATTTACATAAAGCGCATTTCCACTTGCATTCATTTCCCATTTGTAAGATGCAACTTCTATTAAAATCGTAAAAATACGGCCACAAATATGAAAGATAGCGTTGCACATGGGCAATCCATTTTTGCCGTGCTTCTTCAAGTTCAGTTTATGAGAAGAATTTCATTTCAATGCAAAACTAAATAAGAAAGTTGGAGCTGCGCCTGCGCAAACCTAAATTTTGAAACTAATGTTAGATTTTCCTTTGTTCCAAGCGCCTAAATATCAAATTTCACTTAAATGCTTCCATAGATAAAAAAGTTTGCACTGCGCATGCGTAAAACCAAATGTTGAAATTGGCGTTTGATTTTCCTTTATTACATGTGCCTATGTATCAAATTTCGCTTAAATTCTTCCATAAATAAAAAAGTTGCCACTGCGCATGCGCAAAACCAAATTTTGAAATTGGCATTTGATTTTCCTTTATTCCATGTGCCTATGTATCAAATTTCGCTTAAATTCTTCCATAAATAAAAAAGTTGCCACTGCGCATGCGCAAAACCAAATTTTGAAATTGGCGTTTGATTTTCCTTTATCCCAAGTGCCTATGTATCAATTTTCGTTTAAATTCTTCCATAAATAAAAAAGTTGCACTGCGCATGCGCAAAACCAAATTTTGAAATTGGCGTTTGATTTTCCTTTATTACATGTGCCTATGTATCAAATTTCGCTTAAATTCTTCCATAAATAAAAAAGTTGCCACTGCGCATGCGCAAAACCAAATTTTGAAATTGGCATTTGATTTTCCTTTATTCCATGTGCCTATGTATCAAATTTCGCTTAAATTCTTCCATAAATAAAAAAGTTGCCACTGCGCATGCGCAAAACCAAATTTTGAAACTGGCGTTTGATTTTCCTTTATTCCATTTATTTATTTATTTATTTATGTATCAAATTTCATTTAAATACTTTTATAATTAAAAAAGTTTGCAATTCGGTTTATAAATGGTCGAGATGCGAAAAGGGCACTGTGAATTTTGAATCGATTCGATTCAACTTTTGGCATTGCGTATTATATGGTTAAAGCTATGCCCATATTGAATTTCATGCAATTCAGTTCATAACTATCGGAGATGTAAAAGCGATCGAACATTTCTAAACAAAGTTATCGTTCACACGGACAGATAAATGGACAGACAGACAAAGGAACAGACGGACAGACCAACCGGCAGGCGACAGATAGCAATGCAAAATTATAAACGATCTCTAGGATCGTTAATAAACGGCAAAAGTGTAAAATTATGGAACATGTAAAAAACGGTTTTTTTGTTTTTTTACAATAACTTTTTTTGTAAGCGGTACAGAAAAAATTCCTTCCTTGGTACAAGACTCGACACCATAACGAACCAAATAGCGAAAAAAGTAGAACAATTAGCTCTTAAGATAAAGAACTAGTAGCGTCTCAACGCACTAGCGGGCGGACGGACAAAGTGGCCACAATAGCGCATTTATTTTTTATTTTTGTGGAAATGGAATTTACTGGGACCGGAACACATAATTTGTTACAAAATTTAACAGAATTCAAACCTATACACCCTTTTTAGGTTTTGTCCGTCTGTCTATTCCTCTTCTTACACTTCTTACACCTAGTAGCTACATGGGTGGGGGGGGGGGGGGGGGGGAGTCACCATTTTCAATAATATATTACAAAATTTAACAGAACTCAACCTATACGCCCTTTTTAGGGGAATTCCCCTTATATGATGGTTTTGTCCGTCTGTCTATTCCTCTTCTAACTCCAGACCGAAAAGAGATAGCGATGTCAAACCTTCGCCAATCGATTTCTACGAGTTCAATTATCAATGCTATTGAATATGAGCCGGTTTCTGAATACGAGCCGAGTGGAAAAAATTCCCCTACCGAAAATCGTATGCGATTCTTCGTCTCTTGTTTTTTAAGATCCACACGTTGGTATTCACCTGTAAGTGGTGAGAAGAGAAAAGACAAGTCATGATGGTTAAGTACATTTATTTTCATATTTGCAATAACTTAAAAAGACCAGGCGTCGTTTATTGCCAGCCTTGCGTCAACATTTGTCCATACTGGAAATGATTTTAGGTATTTATCATAATACGGAATTGAAATGTTGCTTGAAGAATAGTGATAAATACCAGTCAGTCGAAACTGTAAAGCTTTTGCGTTGTGCTCCACTAAATGCACTTTAAGTACAATTCTTAAGGGTAAACTCTCCTTCCCTCTAATGTAGTCAATATAATAGTCGGTTACGTTGCTTTGCAAAATTACGGACTCGTTACTCATGTAGATTTTTGCACTTCTGATGATTGCATGATTCATTGTTTCGATGGCGAGAGCCATTGTACTAGGAGCTGTAATTTAAACTATTAAAGATATGCTCGAATTTTGGTCCAATTTCATATTTTATAGTGTACATAATTTCACACATGGTTCATTGGTTTTTGCTTTCCGAATACATATAAAGTATGTATAAAGGAAAGTATTGTAATCGTGATAAATTTTCGACACGCCAATATTTCGTTTTTTGAACGTTTTGAATGTGGTTCGTTTTTTGTGAACACGATAGCTAAAAAACGCCTGAACCGATTTGGACGAAATTTGGGGTGCATATGCGTATGGGGAATCGAAAACGTCCTATTTTGGTTTTGATCCGTAGCCATCTTCATGGTTATTGACGGTGTCGAAAGTTTAAAAGAGCCATGACCGCGTAATAGTTATTTATTATTCAAGACCATAAAGGGATATTTTAACCATTGAGTGAAAGATGTTAATTCACGAGTGGCGCAGTGGTTTCCTTTTATCGTCGTGTATAATACAAAACTTTATTTTTTAGCAGAAGCCATACCTATAAATCATTGTAAAGCTTCTGACAATTCTAAATTTAATTTAGAGACGTCAAAAATAGCAAGCTTAGGTTCTGCCGTCGCGATCGTTTCCATAGAAACAGATTTGCATATGTTCTGAACGTCATTTTATAGCGTGCATTTGAAATAAGAATTACAGATGTCATTAGAATTCACAATCATTTGTTTCACTTTATCTATCCTTACGGTTAAATAACGGCTTAGCCTACTCATTCAAACGTATTAAAATGTCATTTTAACATATATGCTATAATAATTAAAAAAAGTGTTTCCACTGGCCAAAGTTGCTTAAAAAACTCTACTACAAAAAAGTCCATTACAGTTTTTTTGTGAGTTTCTTAGATTTTGAGAAGTTTTGAATTGGGAAGTTAAACTTTTTGTTTTATTTTTTAAAATATGCATTTTTCTCAAAAAGTAAGCAACAGATTGAAGAATGTTATTTACAAAAAAGGTGTGTATTGGTGAGAACTACAAACAACTCCTATATACTTTTTGCGCAGGATTCAATATAAAGGCGCCAGAGGGCATTTTCTAAATGTTAAATACTATGACCAACGATAATTGCAATGACTCTATTAAAAGTAGTTGGAAAATCAAGTCTGAAGTTTACCTGACGACTAGTTTTGTTCCTCAAAACTACTTTCAGTCAATTGGAAACTCTGTAAAAGGTGCCTTCGGATTATAACATATCATTTACGTCTGTCGCGTTTGATCTGTTATTGGAAAACTTAAGAAATTAATTCCTTTTTCATAGTCCTTCAGCTAGTGTCTAGGTCCAGAGAGGTTAGCAACCAATAGAAAAGTACTATAATAGACAAGGGGCACTTATTTTACGAGTTCTTAATAATGAAAGCAGTAATTTTCTGAAATTTTGAAGATTATGTGAAATGGGTTGGAGTCGATGAAGCCTCAGGATGTCCTAAGCTTAGTAGGTATCAGGGTACCGTGTTGAAATTTGAAATAGAATATGAATCATTTAAATTTGTTTAAATCAGATGCATTGGCGCGCAGAGATTACCAAGAACCAAATGATCCACGAAATCAGCGTGTCGTGTGGAAAACGTTTAGTTCACATAACTCACATACCTTCTATCGTAAAGTTGTATTGAACCGTGGATGGGTTTAGATATATTCTTGAATCTAATTGTAGTTTTACGGTTTTATCAAGAGGTATTAGATCACTACTTTCGTCAAACTTCGGTTCCCTGACATACTTAGATAGTGTTTTTTCTGCATTGTAATCTCCACTACACTGGAGCTGCTTTTCTCTTGCAATCACACTATGTGTCATCTCATTTCGAAACACTTGGTTGGAATACTAAATCAAATTTGATAAGTTCTACTTCCAAACCATTTGGTTTGTTACCTACGTAGCACACGAAACGTTGAGGCGAAACTGCATTGTCAGTTGAACTATAAGGGAAAGCTATTGGTGTGAATATCAGTACGAAAAATATCACAAAAATGCCCAATGTAGATCCTATGGTAATATACCATCTCCTTAGTAACGTGACAAATGGCACCTAAAAGTGATGATGCATTTGGCCATATTTCCAATTCTATACTTACGTAGATGGAACCCGCAAATAATGTCAAGAGTAAGTATAATAACGCAATGAAGAGTTCTGGGTGCATGTATGGGTTAACAGCTGAAGCCGTGACAGTAGGCGTAAGAAGCAAAATTAGGTAAATGATGAACATGGTAGCTGGAATTGTGAAAATGAAATACAGAATTTGCCAAACTCTAACTACAAAGAGAGAATTAGTGTTTTTTTAGTAAACCAAAGTACGATCTAACCAGTGTATTGAGAGCAAGTTAGGTGTATCAGTAGAAACGCGCCCGTTTGAAAGACCACCGGGACTAAGACAATGTAAGTACTTCGAATACCCATGCAAGTTCCAACCAGTAGCACGACGGTCCATATCAGTCTTAACATGTGCAACTGCAGTTGCGTGTGCATGTTATACGTCAAATCCTGAAAATAGGAAATTAAATTGATTGATGCTGATATATTAGCGAAAAGGTTACTTTTGCTACAAATTCTTTAAACAATGCAACCGGGACACAAGACATCGCCGATATAGGAATGACGTATAATCCACAGATCATCCATGGGTTTCCGTACCAAATCATATTATAGCCTTGTGCTCTGAGAATGAAAGATACTGTTACGGCGAAAGCTGCTGCCAAGGCCCATCCCAACATTAATCCTAGGAAGGTCACCAAAGCGTATGTAAAAAATTTCTTGCATTCTGGAAATGATCACTGGTTTTAAATCAACACAAAGTGTGAAATAACTCACTTATTTTAAAATCGTAAAAAGCCTTCAACGCAATGAGAACAGACAAAATTACAGTCAACACATTTATGATGGCTCCAATGGTTTTAGTGTAGTATATCAGAAACAGCCCCAAAAAATCATAATAAATATGATCACTTTCCTCCTTCGTTTGATTAATATCCAATATTTCAGATGCGTTCGCCAAGTTCTTGATTAATTCGAGAACCAAATCGCCAACATGCTGATAAGAACCTAGAGGTATATTCAGGTTATCAAAACTGGTGTGGTACCTTTGTTGATTCTTGTGGAAAGCGAAATCGAATCCGTTATACACTTTGTTAAGAATGTTACTGGCAGCGAAAGGGAAAGATTCGCCCATCTCTTCGGCGGTCACTTGTGCGTGTGGTAATGCTACCTTGCTAAAGTAGTGCAACAATCTGGACTGTTTTGGACCAGTGTGGAATAGCAAAATTTTTCCAGCAGCTCCTTTAGCTGCCAAGTTAATATAAACCTCAACCTCTCGGGCCCAGCGTTGTTGGGTCATAAAGCCATGTAGTCCCAGAAACCCAGCCTCCTCCGCACCGTTAAAAAGGAAAAGTATGTTGTGAAGATAAACGACGGGCGAATTCGCAAGTGTGCGTAAGATTTCCAATGCAACTGCGCAGTTAATACCATCATCGCTTCCGCCTGAAAATGATCGTCTTCACTTTACCATACCTTGCACAAATAGTTGCGCCAACCTGAACTCGTGGGCGCTGTGTCAAAGTACACATTAACAAGAACGGAATGTTCCGAATATTTTTGACCATGCACTTTAACGACCAAATTTTGAACGTTTTCAAAAATGCGAAGGTTGTTTGAAGATTCTACTTTCCCGGAGACCACTTGCTGATCAAACTCAATTTTTTGATTCTTGTGAGCGTTTTCGATGATTTTCGCAATTTCCAATCTCAATATTTTCACCGCTTGCACATCATTTGCTTCAGTACCCGTAATGCGCTCACCAATCTTGGCCAACTTCTTCAAACTATTCTGTGCCCGCTCCGCTATAAATCGTTCTGGATTGTGAATCTAAATTTTACAGTTTAGCCAACAATCCATGACATGGTAAGTAGAAGTACATACCTCATCTTCAATGTATAAAGGTGTTGGCAGAATATCGTCTATTAAATAAACCACCCCGCACAGCGCCGATACAAACATTATAAAAATGATACCAACAATCCCCGGTAATTTACCACTTTGTCTTTTTAATTGTTCTGTACTCCCGTATTGTTTGCCTTCCATTTTTGCGTTCCTAGTTAATTGGCATCATCGCTTTAAATTGCTGCGTTTAATTCGCAGTGTTATAACTGGCACAGATAACCTTGCCCTAATGCGGGATGTTGATAATGGCCATGAATTAACATTTCCAGATACGATGATACGAAGCAACGTGTTTTTTATTATCTAACATTGTAAGCTTGAATTTTAACAAGATACGAAAGTACGAAGTAGGGGAATTGTTTGCCACTCAGCTCACATTCGCAAACTGGACTTTTAATCCGGCTCATATTCAATAGCAATCCTTGAATTCGTAGAAATCGATTGGCGAAAGTTTGAAATCGTTCTTGAGTTAGACGAGGAGCAGACGGGCCAAACCATTACACATCAGGGGGAATTTTTTTTCTTTCGAAAAATTCGGCTAAAAATTGTTTTGGAATGCAATGGAAATTTTAATTATTAATCACCATGCACTGTACACAAATAAGGACGGAAATTGTCGCGATTATACAATTATCTACCTACATCCGTACATGGATCATCAGACGTGGCTATGTGAACCGGCTAAATGGCAAGTTTTAATCCAAAAGGAAATGTAAGGGTAGGTCTGATTCTTTTATGGTGGTGGGGGATCTAAAATTCAATTTTTGGACTCTGTGCGGCTTGGTGCTCCACATCGTTTGAACAATTGGTCTGTTTGTCTATTGCTACTGATCTTCTTCATCTAGCTGAAGTTCTACTTTTTTGTTAAAAAAACCTTTCAACTCGTCTCCCAAGATTCTTTCTTATACACATTTTGTCTCATTAAATGATTATTACGCATATACAAAGTTTGACATTTTATCAATATGATTATTATTTTTGCTGCCCCTTTCACAGTGCCGCCCGGGGCGGACCGCCCCTCCGCCCCCCTGTCGGTACGCCACTGCTTGAGCTATCATTCTACATTTTTCACATTTGGATTGTTATGGTGATATCGTGGCTTGCACCAAGGGAGGAACTTTTTCTTAGTTTGTTACTCAAAAAAGTTATAGTAAAAAATCAATTTTTTCATATGTGCCATAATTTTACACTTTTGCCGTTTACAATTTTGTACTATCTATCTGTCTGTCTGTTGTCAGTGCGTCGCGTGCGTTGTCTATTGTTTGTCTGTCTGTCGGTCTGTCTGTTGGTGCGCACGATAACTTTGGGCCGAAACGTCGGATCGCTTTGAAAATTGGTACGCATGTTCATAAGACAGGTCGATATTGTTTTTCTGCTAACGGGCCAAAAAGTTACAGCCCAAAAACCCACCAAACCTCCAAAAAATTGGTTTCTTGGATCATTTTTGTTACAAAGAATATATGAATGTCCGGGTATTTTGTGTTAGTACATTCCTTAAACCTTAAGCAACTATGCAGACGAGACGAATTAAAAAATTTGCGCATGCGCAACCCAGCTTTGAGAATCCTACTGTGTGCGCATCACAAAGAATAGGTTGTGCATGCGCAGTGTTAACTTTAGTATTTGTGGACGGATTTTATTAGTTGAAAAAGAATTTGAGCAAAGAGTATTAGTGTGGAAATGAGCTTTTGGTAAATCGTTAACGATTACCTTCTTTTACTTGTTTCTTCTACTTCTTCTCACGCTTCCGGATTGTTGTGAATCTTATTATTTCTTTCTTAGCTTAGCCAGCAGTTCCAGAAGCTTCGTTTTGCTTACGACACACAGAGCATCGACTGCATGCAAGATGGCATTTACTATCCTGTTGAGTTTTCCAAGAGTGTTTGCGCGCACCTGATAGGTTGTTCGCATAAAATACGATTGTTATCCCCTTTGGATGACGTCATCATATAATATGTTCCGTAGGGTCGGTCTAAGGACTGACCCCTGTAGAATCCCTGGTACACCTCCCTTTCTGTGTCTTTATTAATTTTGTAAGTAATACTCTAATACATTCAGCAGTAAAGAGTAAGGAGCACTTGTCTCTCTCTTTTTTGTATGTCTTGGAAAATTTGTTTGATTTCTTCCGGGTCGGTCGTGTTCCTCGTCTGGTTCCACCCCGTTTTTAGGGAGTTGCTATTGCTACTATCAGATCTTTTTTGCAATATGCATTTATATGTTCCCTATTCTCATTTATCGGCGGCATGTATTTTGATGGATATTATATTTATGTTTAATGTTAAAAAGGCAAGCGCGAATAGTTGGAATAGTAGACTTGTAATGTTCTGTCAGTTTGAAAATAAAAAAAATACTCAAAAACCCTTGAGTTCAACATGCATTGTGGCAACTAAATATATTTTGACGTTTGATTTTTAAAATCTGTCGATTCGTTTTCGAGAAAATTAGAATAGTATATTTTTTATTATACCTGCAATATAATTTACAAATAAGGGAAATACAATGAAATCATATTGACGTTATACTTGAATACATGTTTAATTAAGTGGGCTGTGTGTTCGTAATTCCATGATTGCCATGGAAATGTCACTTATAAAAATCACCGCCTTTGTGTCAATAAAACGATTTCGGTTGAAAAAGATAATACACCGTCCATTAAATGACTTGTTGTAAAATCTAAAGAAGCATTTATTCAAAACTTCAAACAATACTGCGATTTAAAAGTGGAGCAGATACGGAAGCATACCCTAAATTACGCGCGTTTGTGAAAGCTTCGACCTAAGAGGATTTTTTATTTCAACCCCAGATGACAGTTTCAAAAGTCATACTTGAAGTATCATTACCTAGCAACTTTAAAGCACGTGTGTTTTAAAGGCCTTTTTTCGCACGCATTTGAGCGTTCAAAACGGAGATTGTGATTCAGGATAATAAAAAAATCTTTATTTAATTTATTTAATCGACCTATCTTAATTTGTTCAGAGAGAAAACAAAAACAAACGAAAATGTCACTTATTTGTTGCTATGGGAAAGAAAGAATTTAATTTGTTGTCAGTTACCTTTGTAACAATCTTGGGATAGTGAAAATTATTTTTTTCTGAAACTACTTTCGTGTATAAAATGGGTGAAGAAAATGTGACTTTCCTCTCTAGTGAGGAAAGTAAAAAACAATTGCTGCATTAGTTTTAATAATGACATTTAAAATTGAAACATACCCGTATCTAGATTGCTGTGTCAAACTTCATTATTGCATACGATAATGTTTCGATTTTGATTGTAGTTTCAGAAAAAATTATGTGTAAAACTTGAGAAGAAAGTAGAGTTTTTCAACTCTCGTTCTTTGAACTCGCGTTGAAAAACTCTACTTTCTTCCCTAGTTGTACAAATAACTATTATTGATTCAGATTTTACTCCAAAATGGTTTACACACTATAGCCGAACGAGTGGAAATTATTCTAATTTTCCCAAAAATGAAAAATCAAACGTCAAAATAAAGGACTTCGAAAGATCTTTCAAACAAGCCAGTGGCGTATTTACGGGGGGGGGGGGGGGGGGATGAAGGGGATATAACCCCCCCCCCCCCCCCCAAGAAGAATTGAGTTATCATCATAGCTATCTTTAAAATAAAGGCAATAATATATAGGTATATATAGAGAGCAATTTTGGTTTTGGTTAAAGTCTAAAGTCACTAAAATTTAAATATTCTGTAGTATTCAGTATTCACTATTCAGTGAGTGATCAGTGTTGGCAGTCAACGATTTGGCTATTCGGCATCGATCGGCAATTCGCTACATTGATGCCCAAAATAACAAATAGGTATCAGGTACTTAGTACTGCTACTGAGGTGAGGTACCTGCGTCCTGCCTTTCACGAAATGACGAAAATAAGAATTTTAAATTTTAAAAACAGGAATTTTTTTGCCCATAACTTTTGATTGAGACGTCTAATAGAAAAAGTACGAATCGTTTTGGATTCTACGCACCCAAATTAATAAGAAAAAGTTTTTTCCCGAGAAATTTTGGTGCAGTCGATTTTTGGTAAAAAAGGAAGGTAATAACTGCCTTTTTTTTGCCCAGAAAAAAAAATTGTCTCAGATCGACCGGAAAAAAATATTTTCTTATAGAATGTGGCCTGTAGAATCCATAATTCCAAACAGTTCCAAGATCGGACTACTAGATCAAAAGTTACAGCCCTTTGAATTTTTTGTCGAAATTGGTTTTTTGCCCATAAATATACCTATTATTCAAAATTTTCGTTTAAAGCAAAAGCAATAAAGGGGCCTGTCAGCAGTAAGAAATAAAATACCGTTCTAATCTAATCTTTTTCGTCTGCTGTGCAACCCAATTTCTATTTCTGCCTCCCCCCCCCCCTTCTAGTACGCACTGGGTGACTGTATGTGCCACGAACTTGTTTAATCCCCCCCCCCCCCCCCCAATAAATTTTTACGTACGCCACTGAAACAAGCTATTATTCCATACCACTTGTTATTTAAAACTTTTAAGGGAATGATCCTCCGTGACCAACAATTTTCCTACTCCTTCACGTTTCTAAATCGATACCTCCTGATGAAGCGAATCGTTTTCTACAAAAAAAAATGTCCCCACTCCATATCAGCCCATTTGAAAGCTATAAATTTAGTTGATCGTTTTTCAGCTAAATCCCACTGTCTTATTTATAGGGCAAAGGCTAAGACAGCAGCAAACTTTTGTGTAGGTATGTACCCTTAGTCAATTACGTCGTATCTCACGACTTTAAGACGCCTTAACCTTTCAACGCACAATTAAAAAGTCAGGACCGTACCTACTTATATTTACAAAAATTTGGGACCATAATGTAAAACAACCTTACACCACTCAAGTTGACGTCTTTTTAACTGAACGTTGGGATTTTGTAAATTGCAAATTGTAAAAATGATATGTTCTAGTCTAGTCTAAGAAAAACTTATCTACTGTAGGTTTATTTTTAAAAGAAATGTTAAGAACTTCCAAAAAATGTAAAATTATACAGGGAATTCCAAACAAAAAAAAGGTTCACGAATCGTCGTACATTAAAATAAAGTCCATCAACTTGTTACTTGTTCAACACCAAAGACTGTTTAATGTTTATGACGATTGTTTTGATGTGGTGGAACGAAAATCGTCATCTAGAAACGCGTTATTATAGGAAAATCAGTATCTAATTTCGTTTGGTCACATTCTAAGTGGGCACTAATTATCGACAATAAGCTCTCGAACTACCCCCATCAGACTACAATATGATTGCTCCTAGAAATTGTAACATTATACTGTTTTTATTCAAAGCTAAAAGACATTTGTTTGGAATTACGTTGACAAGTATCGCTTTAGGGCTGTGGGGATGGTAGTAACAATTATTAGACAACATGACAAAGCGATCAGAAAGACAGCATGCGGAGTATCGAAGCTCACTTCTTCTGTAAAGTGATGCCGTTGTTCACGTAATCCATTATTGTCCAAAACACTCCATTATTTATTGTAAAGGCTAAGAACTTTGGCGCATGATCCAGAGCGTCGCGTCGACTCCGACGGAGCTATAAATGATGTAGGTGCTTTTAGCATTTTAATTACTTGTTCGTTTTAAAACAAATAGAGGTCAAAGTAATTATTTATTGTACCGCATATAAATATCGTTTGAAATCGTGATAATTATTTGAGATATGCCATAAATTATACATAGGTAGGTCAAGCCATATTACTGGTTATCACTTTCTATTGCATGATTCTTCCCCTAAAGAGTAGGAATAATGATTAGTACCTACACTTATTGCGCACCTAAACTCGAACAATTGAGATCGACGGAAATGGTCATTCCACTCTTCGCCTCATTGTAGGTCGTGTTCTATTTCAAAAAGCGCACACTCTCTCTCAATCAAAACGGGTATTGATTGTAAGAAAAACACAATCCAAACAAAACGACAACAAACCGCGGGTGTCGGTTCGATTTGATTAAATTGCGAAAAACATAAGAAATATGGACCAGGTTGACGCCGATCATGATGATGATCACCACCACGATCATCCATACAGGATATACATCATCATCGCCGTAGTCGTCGGTGCTATAATTTTACAAATTGTAGGTGTTCTGATATGCTGCAAAGACAGATGGAAAACGAAACGAAAAGCGAAAAAGGCAGCCTCTCTGCGCGAAAGCAATACGGGGGAGATAACGAAGGTTGTTTCGATCGTGAAGGAAACAAAGAAGGGAAAAACGTTGGTGGAGACTGCCGACGAAGAAGCTCAAGTAGCGCTTTTAGCTTCACCGCTTGAAGGCGGCAATAGAAGATCGGCGTCGATTGAAGAAGATCCTGAAAGTGAAATTCACATTCATACAAATATAATTAAGGTTAAGCACATTATTCCGTAGTTTGTTCTTCGTCCTGTTACCGCTTTGCTCATTAAATCGCTTGTGTTACGTGTTTTTTGCATTAAGCGATTGAGTAGGCACCTACCTTCCCACCAATGGAAAAGAGCGGGAAATTTTGGCGCCATTTACAGGTCGCATGAAGCATACAGTAAATAATTTACTCTATGTATCAAGTAACCTGGAAATGCCATTTGCAATAGGTAATTTAATGGAGCGGTAGGTAGCTTTGTCGTTTACTCATAACGAAATATTGAAAATAAGTATTGTTTTTCGGTATACAAAGTATTACATTGCTGCCATCTATGAATTAATGTACTTTCGCGCGTTTTAGCAAAGATAAAATGGACATGAAACCGTTTCGCTTACTGATCAATATTTTGTACAATACTTCCCTTTACTTTCTCCAGAGCCCAATATTAGGCCCCCGGCTGCGTATTGGCATTCTGTACTATTATTCAGAGCAGCTCTGGTCTGATTCGCAGTATACTATGGCTTCACGTTATGCGCAATTTGATAATACATTATATACTGTGATTCAGAGCACCGATATGGTTTAAACTTTAGAGTTCTGAAACACTGTATTTATAATGGGTTTCTATAAAGCGCGTCATACACTTACAAGAAGTGTGTTTTTATTGTTAGCTTTGCAAGAAAAGTATATTTTTTGTTGTTTGTGTGTAATCAAGGTTCTCAAACTGCACTAAAATGATCTATAAACAGGTATTGGTTGAGATGTGCAACGAGAATACGTTTTCAATGATCGGATATTTGGAACTAGTAGAACATGGATTTAAAGCGAAATTTAAAAAAAACGGGTGAAGATATTAACAGTGTTTGGGGCGACCAGTGGTTAGCTGACCTTAGTAATAAAACAAACACTAAACCACATCAGTGCTCTGAATCGCAGTATATAATGTATTATCAAATTGCGCATAACGTGAAGCCATAGTATACTGCGAATCAGACCCAGAGCTGCTCTGAATAATAGTACAGAATGCCAATACGCCCCCCGGCTAGGACAGTCTGTGCTCCCTTCGCCATCATGGGTTTAGATAATATTGTAACGAATGTTTTAGAGATCCATAGAGACATCGGGGTGCCATCAAGTCGATAAACGATAAAAGATTAGTCACCGGCTATAAAGAACGATAAGCGAACGCGACGCATTCTTTCTATGAAATGTAATATGCCGACTATTATTTCTAGAAGTGATTCTTAGTGAAGTTTGCGCTCGGATGTTATAAATGTGAAAATGTGAGAAAGGAATCTTTGTCTAATTTTTGTTCTACACGGTCCTTTATTAAACGCCTTATATCTTTAAATTTAAATAAAACAAAGTGTGTGTGTGAGATAACGTCGACATTTTTTATTTGGCCTATAGATGCCATTATCTATGGATTTTATCATCGTGCAAATGTCTGCCGCGGTTTCACTGGGTCACGCGCATCCGAAATGTTCAATTTCTTATTACTCTAGCTCTAACAGTGACTTTTTCGGGATAAATTGGAAGTTTCTTATCGTCCCAACTTCGATAATTTTGTTTGTTAACGTACCTATCCATCCAGAAATAGGCTTCATCGCTCAACATAATTTTTCGATGATTATTACGATCAGTTTCCAACTGCTCCAGGGCATATTCAGCAAAAACACGTCGTTGTTTATGGCCGTTGTACTTCAGTTCCTGGATCAGTGGAATTTTGTACGAGTGCAGGCCCAAGTCACGACGCAAAATTCGTCATCATGTGGTCTACGAAAACTGAGTTCTAGTGACCCGTTATATGACGATTTTGAAAATGTTTGCTTTTTGGCCACCCCTCATACGTTTACTTATGCCTAAACTTATCGGAAAGGTAAAAACTGAATTCCTTTAAAATAAACATGAACAATATACTTTTGAAAAATCAAATCGTGCTCTTCATATAATAATAATAATATTTGAGGTGTTCCGATAAATTTAGGCATAACCGAAATACGAGGGGTGGCCAAAAACTAACCATTTTTTTAAATCGTTCTTTGGAACACAAACTAAGGTAGTCATGATAAATTTAACATTGGAATTTTTTGTTTCGCCAAAAAATAGGAATACAGTAATGCGAAAACCGCAATATCTGTAGTAATAACGACACGGCTTTCACAACCTATAAATGAAAATGTTTGGCGCATTTGGCTCCTAAACTGTGAACCTGGATCACAGAGATGTGTTATCAATTTTATTCATCCAAGGTTCATAGGGAATAATTTAGCGAAAGTCCGAATTACATGATTGTATACAATATATTGGTGGCGAATATTCCAGAAATTCCGATAGACATCGCGGCACTATGAAAGATTAGTAATCGGCAACGTAGAACGAAGGCGGAGGTGGAGCAATCTTTCCGGGAAATATGACGTGTTTTTTTTAGAACATTCGCAAACATTCACAAACACTAGTTTGCTATGTAAGTAAATCGAATTGCTTTCCAATTTCAACCCCGTAGTAATTATTTATTTATTTATTGGTCTTTATTTTTAAGTGGGCGGTGTTTCAGCCATGAACTGCTCTACCAACCAGAGTTGGACTGGGTCACTGGGTCACTGGGTCAACTGGGTCACCTGGGTCACTAAATTAAACTGGGTCACTGGGTCGCTGGGTCACGTCATACTCTTTTCAGTTAGACCCAGTGACCCAGTTGACCCAGTGACCCAGTTTGACCCAGTGACCCACTTGACCCAGTTTGACCCAGTTTGACCCAGTGACCCAGTGACCCAGTTTGACCCAGTGACCCAGTTTGACCCAGCGACGCAATTTCACCCGGGGACCCAATTCGACCCAGTCACCTAGTTTGATTGAATAACGCAGTTAAGTCAGTGCCCTCGGTTCAAGTGTACAGATTATGCAATAAATGAAATGCTGGTTTGTTGAAAATAATACTCGATTGCTTGACAACTGCCATTTCTGTGATGTTTGCTTTAATACTGCCGTAAAAAACTTTCCATGTCCCGAATTGTATTAGAATAAGTTATTTCTTTGCTTCAGGGCTTTCCAGTTTGCTTACAGGTGTTCATTCACATTTAATTTTTTTTCTACTAGTTAGCTTAATCCAAATAAATCTTTTCTCTAAATACTTTCATTGACTACTTGACTACAAACTATAAACAAATGCATTTGATTTTTTTATGTATTAGTTCTCTTGAATGAAATTGGGCTACGTGCTTGTTGCCGAATATTATTGAGGAAGTTTTTTTTAAATTAAAAGTTACTTGAAATTGTTTTGGATGATAACTAACAATAATTTAATTACTGAGCTACCGGGTCAGGACGGGTCACTGAGTAAAGCTGGGTCAGGATGGGTCACTGGGTCAAGCTGGGTCACCGGGTCAAGCTGGGTCACCGGGTCAAACTGGGTCAAGCTAGGTCACCGGGTCAAGCTGGGTCACTGGGTCAAGCTGGGTCACCGGGTCAAACTGGGTCAAGCTGGGTCACCGGGTCAAACTGGGTCAAGCTGGGTCACCGGGTCAAGCTGGGTCACCGGGTGAAACTGGGTCACCGGGTCAACTGGGTCACCGGGTCACTGGGTCACCGGGTCACTGGGTCAGTAAACTAACTGGGTCACCGGGTCACTGGGTCACTCTATGCTTGACCCAGTCCAACTCTGCTACCAACCCACCCCACTATTCATTTACAAATATCCATGCCCCAACCCGGATTCGAACCAGGGACCCTTAGCACTGCAGTCCAGATTCAACTAAACTGTGCAAAAAAGACTTCCTTTTGCACCTGGCGAGCAGCATTTTACAAGTGGTCGTCATTCTATTTTCTCGCTGCCGTTCAGTGAGTTCATGTGTCTTCCGATCTTCAGGATCATCCCCATGGGGTTCATCTTCATCGAGTTTGCTCCTGAGATACAGAGTGAAAACGAAAAGTTTCATTTTTTGGAACGTACCTACTACCAATGTAAACATAGCAAATGGTAAAACTGACTATTTTAGGTATTATTACGTAGAATCCAGTGACGTGGTCAACAAAAATTTTGGACCAACGTTTTTGATATTTGGCGCAATATTTTAAATGCAACACCCTGTAAATTTTTGCGTTCATTTTCCTGATTATATTGTATATCACGTAAACGTAATTCAATCGGAGATGCATTATCTGGGTACTATACAGCCCAAAGTTAAGTAATTTTTCAAATTTTCGCAAAATATCATTAAAGGAGAAGCAGATAACATTTGCTTCAAATTGAGGAACAATGGAGCGCAATTACTTTCGTATAGTGAAAATAAATCTGATCGAATTTGAATTCCAAGTGAAAAATAGTCAGGGAGCCTAGGTAAAGGGGTAGATCTCATTGGGGTTTAGGCTAGTCACATTTATCGTTCATTTTTCTTCATCATCACATACACGTATAGTGTTCTCCAGGAGTAATGTTCTGTACTAAGATCTGAGCTCCAATAACACCCTACACCCCATCCCTAAAATTTACAGTACACCAAAATAAAACTCATTTGCAAACATGGGAAATTAGGGTTTGATAAAATGCGTGTTAATTTCACTGCATTTAATTATACATTTAACTAATTACATTCAGGGGTCTCTCTTGATCTCCTGTAATAATGGATCGGTAGCAGATTCGATTTCGTCATCCTTTTTCTTCAATTTGGCATTACACCTTTTTATCGGTAGTTGATCTTTCAAGCACAATGCTATGCCAACGATTAGTATAAGTATTATCGCAGCCACTACCAAGTATATTACAAAAGGTTGTAACTCATGGTCATCCTTGTCTTGGTTTAAGCTGGAAGCGGTTGAGATTTCCATTTTCCTGTAATGCAGATTAATTACTTAGTTATACTTTAAGGAATCATTGTTAGCAAACACTCAAACAGCAACTTGGACCAAGATTCAAAGTGACATAGGTACTGTTGTATTTAGGGCAACACGTAGGTACTACAAAGCCTTGAAAAGCAATAGTTTCAACTTAGAAACTTGGAATGTATTTAAAAATTAATGCATTTCCTTATAACGGGCGATCAAAAATGAGTTGCTGTCGAGTCGCCTTTGGAAGTTC